TATGAACCTCCAAAAGTGGTCCGAACCCCTAGTGTCTTGTACATCTTGACTTCGAAATGTGCTTCGCGCCACAACAGCGTACACTTTTTCAACATCCGAACCTCCAAAAGTGGCGCGAACATGTGGTGTTTTTTACATTTTGACTTGGAAATCGGCGTGCACTTTTTCGACATCTGAACTTCCAAGAGTGGTCCGGAGCTGGTGTGCTTTGTACATTTTGACTTGGAAATGTGCTTTGCGCCACAACGGCGTGCACTTTTTCGACATTTCACTAGAATTTACCAAAGAACATAAAACATCATTTTTTCGGGGTTGTGCTTCATCTCGCCTCGATGAAGCACAACCAAGTGCTTGGGAGCACAACCAAAGGAAGGCATTTATCGCACAAAAATGAGCTTGGTTGCGCCCTCAAACGCTGGGTTGCGCTTCATCCCGCCTCGATGAAGCACAACCCCGGAAAATTATGTTTTATATTGTTTTGGTAAATTCATCAGCGTAAAATGAACACGTATGGAAACTATGTAACTAGAATTTAGGAAAGAACATAAAACATCATTTTTTCGGAGTTGCGCTTCATCTCGCCTCGATGAAGCACAACCAAGTGCTTGGGAGCACAACCAAAGGCATTTATCGCACAAAAATGAGCTTGGTTGCGCCCTGAAACGCTGGGTTGCGCTTCATCTCGCCTCGATGAAGCACAACCCCGGAAAATTATGTTTTATATTGTTTTGGTAAATTTATGTCTTCCAGACTCCAGACCATAGATTATTCTGCCATAAACCCCTACATAGGAAGTCCTATGGTTGAAAATGTGTCGCAAACCATGGAATGCGATATAGTGAACTACTTAAAGCGATAACGTGACGTGATGGATCAGTTGAAAGTTGGACCTTGAAAGTTGACAGTTGAAGTTGTAGTAGTAGTAGTAGTAGCAGTAGTAGTAGTAGCAGTAGTAGTCGTAGTAGAAGTAGTAGTAGTAGTACTACTACTACTACTGGTAGTAGTAGTAGTGCTAGTATAGTAGTAGTGGTAGTAGTAGTAGTAGTCGTCGTAGTAGTAGTAGTAGTCGTCGTAGTAGTAGTAGTCGTAGCAGTCGTAGTAGTCGTAGTAGTAGTATAGTAGTAGTAGTAGTAGTAGTAGTAGTCATAGTAGTAGTAGTCGTAGTAGTCGTAGTAGTCGTAGTAGTAGTAGTAGTAGTGGTGGTAGTAGTAGTAGTAGTGGTGGTAATAGTAGTAGTAGTAGTAGTAGTAATAGTAGTAGTCGTCGTCGTCGTAGTCGTAGTCGTAGTCGTAGTCGTAGTCGTCGTAGTAGTAGTACCCTAAGTCTCTTTTTCTATTAAATTTAGTAGACTTAAAATTTAGGTAAATTTCGTGGTTTAGTAGACGAAATTTAGGTAAATTTCCTAGTAAATAGTAAAGTAAATGAAATTTAGTAGCATTAGTAAATTGATTTAGTAGTACTAGTAAATTGATTTAGTAGTACTAGTAAATTTTTAGGGCATGATTTTCACATTGTAAAAACTAGTTACTTTGTTCTAAGAGTTAGCACATTTTGTGCATGTTTCATTGCTTATGCTCAGCGATTGTATTTGTAATTTTGTGAATTTTTGAAACACTAACTAGAAGAACGACATGATTTGAGGCTTGGGACTGTGCTTCACTGCTGCTGAATATTTTTACTTGAGATATTTTTACTTGAGATTTTTTCCACCAGTAATTTTTGGACATTTATGTAGTTACTTGAGTTTACTTGTGATTAGTTGTAGTTACCTGAGCTTACATGTGACTCAAGTAAAATCTATTCAGGTGTGGCCATAAGTACCCATAAGATCCCATAAGTAACTATATTTTTTAGGGTATGCAATCCATAAGTTCAATTGTTTACTTGCAATAGTGTGCAAAGCCAATCCAGCAAAACAAATTCAGCACAAGAATGCCAGTATAGAAGCATCCAAAAATGTGTGTTGGGTTTAAGTTTTGATGAAAAATAAATACAAAACAGTTGAAAATATATATGATTTTTATATGCATTTTATATGCATTTTATATATATGCACTTTTTAAAAATGCATGCATTTTTGAGAAAAGTGCATGCATTTTTCTCAAAAATGCATGCATTTTTAAAAAGTGCATATAAAAAGCATATAAAACGCATATAAAATGCATATAGAATACATACCAAATGTTGTACAAATTATATATTTATAGAAGAAAAATCATGCGTTTGATGGAAAGAGATCACACTTTGGCACAAAAGTCTGTTTCAAACAACTATGAACTATACATAGTTTAAGCTTTTCATTCTAATATCATTGATGCTTCAAACTATGAGCTGATGAGCAACTTCAGTCCTTTGGCTTCATAAACAAACCTGGATGAACAAACAACTTGTGACCTTCAGTTCAAATCCATTCCATTGTCCATGCAATGGTTGATGTCCTATTAAGCAATTGTGTGATACTTGTGTCAAACCATACCATATCCTATCATATATGTATATATATATACTTACTTGAGATATGTGGTTTTCTTTCTTTGCTTATTCTTACTTGTGCAAGATCATTGGTCTACATATCAATGTATGTATTGAACAACAGATTGGCAGCACTATTTGTAGCTTGTGGATGTATCTTTTTGTGTACAAATCCCAAGTCTTTCATGTTCATTTTGGAAATTATGTACTTTGCTTGTTGTGCTTTCCTCAATCACAACAAGATAACCAAAGAACAAAAGACATGCATTTTGAGCAAAAAAGCATGCATTTTCATCGGTTGCCAAAAAAATACTTTAGTTGACAATTTACTAGTTTAGTAAACTAAATTTTGCAATTTAATTAAATTTAGCCAAAAAATAAATTTAATAGAAAAAGAGACTTAGGGTAGTAGTAGTAGTAGTAGTGGTGGTAGTAGTAGTAGTGGTGGTAATAGTAGTAGTAGTAGTAGTAGTAGTAGTAGTAGTAATAGTAGTAGTCGTCGTCGTAGTAGTAGTCGTAGTCGTAGTCGTAGTAGTAGTAGTAGTAGTAGTAGCGGTTGTAGTAGACGTGCTTGCGTCACAAACAGTCGCACCTCCTCTTGCCTCTCCCTCCTGTCTTTTCCTCCCTACCTTTCTTCCCCCCCCTCTCAAGTATGTAGGGAGGGCTCTCTCAAACACTGTGTAGCGATAGGGTCCCCCACAAAGGCGATTCCTTTCCTCCGTTCCCCTTTCTTTGCCATTCTTTTCTTTACGTGGATTGGTTATTCTTTCTTCACAAGTACAACACCATGCGTAGATGTGCGTAGCAAATAGATGCAAATAGGCCTTGCCCCCTTTATTTTGGTTATTTTGGGAGCTTGGCGAAGACAACGAGTGCTCATCTAGTCCGTTGAATCATCCCGTTTCTTTATGGTGTTGCTCCTTCAAGTAAACAGATAGACTCAACTATTGTGTCATCATATTCCATTTTTTCCAAGTTCAACCCAAAGAAATATGGTATATTGACCATTGGAAAAATGTACTATATATTGGAATTCATTCTTTTCCATGGCACAACCATGGCAGAAATATGTCCGAGTCCTGATGACAGCCATGGCACAGGGCGACTTTCTTCCTGGAGTTCTTTGCGATCGCTACGACAATGTGCAACTGGACCTCGTTGGAGGATTTCAGATGTTGTTGGTGTATTTGTGGAAACGATGTGTAGATGAAGATAATGAGAAAGTAATCGAAGTAATGATTTATGATGATTTGAATGTAACTCGAACTAAATGGGCCAGTGTCCATCGCTATTTTAAATGGCCGGAGGGTATCATGGACATTCAACTAATGCCCACCCTAAAAGGTTACTCTTGTAATAATGGAGTGTTAATATGCCTCTATTATTGGGTGTTTGGTTGTGGGGAAGTCACAGGAACCTCTTTGTCTTTCCACACAAAATTAGCATTGCTGTAAAACTATGTAAAACTTAACCTATCCTATTTGGTTTTGCCTTTATGCCATAGGATCCTATAGTACTATAGAAAGGCGCATTTTTTCCCCTTCCCCGCGGATTTTTTCCCCGATCATTTTTTCACAATGAAGCCAGCAGGCAAGCAAGCAAGCCAGGCAGGCAGGCAGGCAGGCCAAGCAAGCAAGCAAGCCAGCCAGCCAGCAAGCAAGAAAGCCAGGCAAGCTCCTAGCTAAACCGCAAACCAACCCTAAACGACATATTGCACCAACACTAAATTCACGCCAAACAAGCGCTACACAAACACCATTTATAAACCAACTTTAAACCGACCTGGAATAACTAACCCAACCCACGATACCGATACCTTTAACCAACCCCAAGCACACCTCACAGCACAACAACACTTCTAGCTGAACCAACCCCAGATTGCTGCTAGCTCCAAAATTTTCCGATTCCGGCAGAAATAAGAATTTCTAGCTCCAAAATGCTGCAATTTCCGTAGAAATGGTTCCAAAATGTTGCAAATATTGTCGAAATGGCAGCTTTTAGGTTTAACATGCTGCAAATAGCCAAGGAATTGATGCGGCATTGAGGGGGAAAAAAATCCGCGGGAAGTGCAAAAAAAAATCGCTGGCGCAAACCGGGCCCCAATAGAAACATATGAGACATATCATATAGAGAATCTATTTAAAAAAAATCATCTTGTTGCCAAGAAGTTTTCCAAGGGAGCCCTTCTGCAGGCTTTGTCTTCAATTCACGGCTTTGGCAGCTGAAGAACTGATGCGAGAGGCGGGGGTTAGCCTCTGGTTGTGAAAAACGTCATGGCTAAAAATGGGATGAGCCACTTAGGAGACTTACCAAGCAGAATTTTAGGTGGGTGAATTCCTGGAATTCAGATGAATTCAGTGAGATCTCTGGTATTCTCTGGTGTTTATACATCCAATACTCTCGTGGAACAGTTAAAGGCTAGAGGATTTGCCATGGGACATCGTGCTCAGCAAAAAATGAAACCCATTTGGCTCAAGCATTGTGCTCAAGTTGGTAACTAGACGCCCCAAATCTAAACACTAGAAATCATGGCAGACTCCAAAGTGAAGGACATGGGCCTGGCCGAGTTTGGCCGCAAGGAGCTGACTCTTGCCGAGCATGAGATGCCAGGTCTCATGGCGGCCAGGAAGGAGTACGGACCTGGACAGCCTTTCAAGGGGTTGAACATCAACGGCTCCCTCCACATGACCATCCAGACTGGTGTCCTCATTGAGACTTTGGCTGCCTTGGGTGCCAAGGTGCGTTGGTGCTCATGCAACATCTTCAGCACTCAGGATCATGCTGCTGCTGCCATCGCCAAGGCCAACACCGCCACTGTCTTCGCATGGAAGGGTGAGACCTTGCCAGAGTACTGGTGGTGCACCGAGCAGATGATGACAGTGCCAGGTGCCGATGGATGCGACCAGCTTGTGGATGATGGAGGTGATGCCACCCTGTTGGTTCACAAGGGCAAGGAGTTGGAGGAGAAGTTTGCCAAGGACGGCAGCCTGCCAGATCCAGCCAGCACCACCAACGCGGAGTTCAAGTGTGTCTTGCAGGTGTTGAGGGACTCCATCCAGGCGGACAAGACCAAGTATACACGAATGGCTGCCAAGTGCAAGGGTGTTAGCGAGGAGACCACCACTGGCGTGCACCGCCTTCGTGAGATGGCAGCCAAGGGTGAGCTCCTCTTCCCTGCCATCAACGTCAACGACTGTGTGACCAAGTCCAAGTTCGACAACGTGCACCTGGAAAACCAAATGGCAAAAAAAACAGTGCACTTAGGAAAGTTGCATGAATTTCTGCCACTGACGAAACAGTGTCAGTTTTTGCGTTCTAGGCCCCCGCGAAAACATTGATAGTGGCCGCCCTGTCCTTCCATTTTGGCCGCAGCACAAACCTTTTTTTTACCCAAAGATCATGTTTAAGCGATATTCAGCGATTGCAAATTTGGGATTTACTATCAAATGAGCCTCCCTGAGAACGTTGATCACTTTTTCCGCAAGAATGCAAATGAAATTCCAGTAAAAGTACCAGCCCAAGTTTATGATTGGTGTTACCAGTTTTCTTGCAATTTTCCAATATTGGTTTTGTGTTTTTGATATTTTTTGATATTTTTTATGCGCTGGGTTTCGGACCGGCATACATACAGCTTCGAAGGTTTCAGGACCAACGTTGGACTTGAAGTTTTTCTGCAGTAAACTAATACGTGAATCAAACCAAACCAAGGTTTCTCGCAATTTAACTGTGACGTTTGGTAACAACAAAGTTTGCTCTTAGCCGGAAAGAACCTGGGCTGAAACAGATCGGAGATTGAACACTTGTCAATTCCCATCGCGCATTGTTGCAGCAGCTCACCTGCAAGACCTTTCCACCTGCATGTGCTTTCATTGGCTCGCTGTGGAAGCCTACTATAGCATCGTGCACTCTTTTAACAGCTCAAGTGCTAAAACTGCTCCCAACCGACCTCAGGTGTTTTTTCACATTTTGACTTCGAAATGTGCTTCGTGCCATAGCTGTGCGCACGTTTTCAACGGCTCAACTGCCAAAACTTCTCCGGACATCAGGTGTTTTTCACATATTTACTTCGCAATGTGCTTCGCGCCACAGCTGCGTGCAAATTTTGATCGCTCATCCTGCGCACCCAGCTAGCCTATTTTTCGGAGCCGCAACACCCTATTTGTTTCGCGTGTTGCTGCATTTGTCTATATTAAATCGGGAAATTTGCCATCTAATCAATCTAATTTTCATTCGACGAAAAGTTGCAGACACTAGTTCCCCTAAATTTTGGATATTTTGGAACGTTGTCTGAAATAAGACGCAACGGTTTTCCAGGTATGGCTGCCGCCACTCTCTGCCAGACAGCATCATGCGAGCCACTGATGTGATGATTGGCGGCAAGCGTGCCTTGGTGGCAGGCTACGGAGATGTCGGAAAGGGCTGCGCCTTTGCCATGAGGGGTGCTGGTGCCCGTGTGCTCATCACTGAGATTGATCCCATCTGCGCTTTGCAGGCATGTATGGAGGGATTTCAGGTGGTTACCATTGAGGAATGCGTGGGTGAGGTCGACATTTTCACTTCCGCCACGGGCAACTTCAAGATCATCACTTTGGATCACATGAAGAAGATGAAGAACAATGCGATTGTGTGCAACATTGGCCACTTTGACAACGAGATTGCCATGGAGGACTTGGAGAATTTCCCTGGCATCAAGGTTGAGAATATCAAGCCACAGGTGGACCGCTTTGTGTTCCCTGATGGCCACGGTGTCATTGTCTTGGCATCTGGCCGACTGGTGAACCTTGGCTGCGCCACTGGCCATCCATCTTTCGTCATGTCCTGCTCCTTCACCAACCAGGTGTTGGCTCAGCTGGATATCTTGGAGAACTGCACCAAGAACAAGAAGTACAAGAACGATGTGTACCTGCTGCCCAAGCAGTTGGATGAGAAGGTGGCAGCCCTCCACTTGCCATCTCTGGGTGCAAACCTGACAAAGCTCTCCAAGGAGCAGGCCGACTACATCGGCGTCAAGGCGGATGGTCCTTTCAAGCAGGACACCTACCGCTACTAAGATGATCTAGGATGCTAGGATTTTGATCCCTGCACGGGGAATACGCCAGTTTTTCTCCAGTTTCCTTTGTAGCAAAGATTGCCTTTGGCGGCGTAGTGTTTGGCCAGTTCATTCACGGATCCCAAGGGACCCTTAGCTACATAGGAAGTCAGCAGATTGCGTCATTTGCGCGGAACAACATGCGTGCCAAAAAAGGAGTTTTGATGGTATGGTGTTTCAGCAGGCAAGCGTTGGTGAACTGAGGTATTTATATACCATAGGGAGCGAATCAGCAGCCGGAAACACCAAATGTTGGGTGCCATCATTGTTTTTTTGGTTGTGGTTTGACAGTTCACACCGTTTTGCTTTGCATCATGATTTGCATGTTTGTTGGTTAATTATACGATATGACAGATTTGAATTAAGCATCATTAAGACACATTAAAGTTCTTAAACCAGTTGTTTTATTGGTTCACCCGTGGTCATCACCTTTCTTTCCATCACGGCCAGGAGATTTTGGACGCCTTAGAGGCTGGCAGCGGTGTACTAAACCAGCGGTGAAAACTGGGGATGGGTCAAAACCATTCAAATCCTGTGAAATTACCTTCTGGTTGGTGGTTTGGAACATTTTTCCATGTATTGGGAATAATCATCCCAACTGATTAATATTTGTCAGAGGATTTTTAAGGAATCTAGGCTAGCTTTTGATAGGTTTGATCCATAACCAACCCAACAAGAGAACCACAAGGTGGATTTGCCCAGGGATTGGCATAATTACTCATCATATCCAATTATCTGGCCATCATCCGAATCATTTCTTATGATGACTTATGATCATACCCAATTACCCAATAATCATTGTGGTCATGACTGTCTCATCGAATTGGTTTCTGGTAAAAGTTAGTGGAAAACCCTATGTTTGGTGGTAAAAAAACAATGGTTTCCTGTAGATTTTCCTTTCAACCAATCCATTGACTGTCATGATTTCCCCAAGACCTTCGGGATCATCACTTGTTTTGAACATAGCCAGGTGATGTGGGTACTGGTTTTTGTTATTCAGCCATTTCAGATCACTCAACCCAAATATATTTACAATTCCCGATTTATGATATATAACTGCAGTACAAATTATAGAAATTTCCGGTATACATATTTAAGAAAAACACTTGGTACGGTAGAATTACTATTGGGTTTACCACTTTTTATAGTTTGACATAAATTCGTCGTTGTACACCTGCTTGACCTGTCGTTTGACTGAGTAGTACGTTGGACTTGACAAACCTTGGTTTGCAAACTCAATGTTTCATATGTTTTATTTAAACATGGATAACATGGTTTGCCAGTTGCGGATTATCGAATATAAAAAACTCAGAACGCCGATCATATGGTATAAGAATAGTATATATATATATTATATATAAGGTATGTAAGATACCCTCTGGTAATTGAACAGATCTATGGAAAATAATCATGTCTATGTAATAGATAAAAATGATAAAACGTCTATAAATTGACCATTTTCCATAGCTCTGTTAAATTGCCAGACGGTCATTCCTGCAAACAAATCTTCATTTTTTGTTGCTTAACGATTCTTGTGCCGGAGTTTTACCGGATGAGGCGGTGCTTTCGCCGAAGGCCATTGTGATACGCTACGATGTGCGAAGCCGAGAAGGGCTAAACAGGTAGCGGTTTTTGGGCTCCTGAAATTCGATTTATGTAAACAATTTCAATGTTAAACAAGAATAAGAATGGTGACAATCGTATAAAAAAAATCAATGACAATAACTATACTTGCCTGAAAGATAATATTATATATAACTGGTCCCCAGAACAAACTATGTGCACGCCTGAAATATTCCTGAGAATGATGAGAAATGATGAGAACATTTGAGATAGTATCAGGATATTTGGAAACTTGAGATAATTTTTGGGATTTACTTCAGCAAGATGCAGGTTGCGGTTGGGGTAAAAAAAACAGACTTCCAAAGATGGGATGATTAGTGTAGTACCTTTGGTAACGTAACCCCTATTGTACCTGTGGTACTAACATTGTTGACCCATACCAATGTCTTCATTCGGAAAAGCTGAGGCTGATCAGATCACTTATTTTGGTTAGTCTTCTGACATTGATTGCCATGTTTCCCATCCTAGAATGATTATCCCCAATGTCTAATCTGTATGTACCTTTATGTGCATAAAATATGCACATGTTCAAATACGAACTAGATATAACATGATATAACATGCATATATTTACATATTCACATAACCATCAGTAACATATGTTACCCATATCAGTACTTATGCAGTACCCATCAGTAACCCCTTTTCTTTGAGCTGTCTCAACCACCTGGCGCACCTGGCACGTCCATCAGGCGTGCGAAGATCGGATTCTGGAGCCCGGCGGCCAATGTTGGAAAAGAACAACTGGCTTTTCCCAGTGGAGACGATTTGGACATGGAATATGTGTGTTTATACCCTCCAGTAAATTAACATAGACCCTGGTAGATAGGGGTTGGAAGATTAGTTTCCTCTAAAAATTTGTGATTTTCAGGGTCTATGTTAATTTACCAGAGGGTATATTATTTTACAATGTTATGTATAAATATATTTAAGTATATATATATGAGAAAAATGTCTATGACCAAGAACATGTTAGCGTGGCGCCAAAAAATAGGGAAGACCCCTAAATCCCATGTTGTATCATAAATTTTGCCAGTAAATAATCATTCTTAATTGGTATGCACCATTTTCAGGCGCATCCATAGATTTTGACGGGTGTTGAATCAACTATGATATAATGTGAATAGAACACAAAGGCAAATGGGGATGTAACCACCAATCATGTGGTTAACCTAGCAACGATTGGTAAAAAACCAAGTGGGTTTTGGATATATATCGGGCAAACCACCCCGGATATGAAAAACACATTTGAAAACCCAGAATATGATTTGTAAAGGGTGGATTGCCGCTGATTTTCCATATTAATTTACTGCAAAATAATTGGTTTCATGTGGCTATGTCTCAAAATCAGTGACCATCAAGGTTGGATACTAAAAATACTCAATTGTATGGGCCCATTGGTGCCCTAATGTTGAGCCGCACCTATCATTCATAACAATACCGACTTCAGACATTGAAGATTGGGGAACCAGGGACCATTTGGACCTTAGAGGATCCATTATGATCAATGATTATTGAAACTGCTCAGCTTTGCATTATATGTCCAAAGTATAGAAAACATCGGACGCATCAATCTGGCACATGTTGCCTAAGAATAACATTTGTTGATCCAAAAATCTATGTCCCAGAGGATGTTGCAGCAAGGCACGCGAGCATCAGAGTGCCAGAACTTGCCCGTGGGAGTGAACCAGGAGCCGAAGGTTACTGAAGGTTTGCAGTTTGGAAACTTATATGGGACATATAGTGGTGTATGAAGATATGCAGATTTCATCCACCAACGGGGTTGAATTCGCCAATTTTAATGGTTGAATCAGTCAATCAAACAACAGGCCAAAGCGGTTGTTAGAGTCCAAAATAGCACAACACATTTCTTTATCAGAAGAATTCAGAGGGAAATATGATCGGCCAAACATTGAACTGTTGATGCGGTTCGACGTTATCACATGTTAACCGCGCTGCAAATGTTGACAGGGTCCCTGTCCGAATAGTGGCTGTGTGGGCGACCAGAAAAAACTCCCTCAATAGCGGTTTCACCGTCCCGTTGCCGGGTGTCAACAACCAGCATTGCTTGCCCTCAGTGGCTTGCAGGACTGCCTGAATGCAAAACCAAATCAGGGCAGCACACTAAGACAGAAAAGCGCACCAGATTGAAGTAGACGGAGTAAAGATGTGGATGTGGTTAGGGTTAAGGTTGGCATCCCCCTTGTCCTCCCCATCACCTTTCATCTTTATATGCCATGTTGGAGTTTCAGCATGTTGGATGACCGATGATGACGTAAGCTCGGTAAATCCTTCCTTCCAACCCACAGTAAGACCCGCAATGTGGTTCCCATTGTTTTTTGCATGTGTTTCACATGTTTTTCCTGGTTTTCCAGGTTTTCCCGATTGAAAACCGCCAGCATTTGGCAGTGACGAGGAAGATGAGGAAGCTTATGGATATATGGAGGTCCTAAAATGGAGGTACCCTTAAATCATCCATTTATAGATCGATTTTAAATGAATTTAACCATCTATTTTGGGGTAGACCCCCCCATTTATGGAAACCCCGATAGATGACTCATGTTCGGCTCAGCATTCAGGTTTGTCTTCACAGCTGATCCTTTGGCACAGGCACCCGCTCGACGCCGGGCTGCCGGGGCAGCCAAACTTAATGACCCAGGGATTTTTTTGGGCTTGTTTCACCATGTTCTTTTCTTTAAACACATCTTTTTTGATGATATATATAAAATTATTGTATATATATATGTTGTTATATGGTATTGTTTTACTTTAGGTTAATGATTAATGAGTTTATAACTTGATGATTCACCATGTTTGGTTTGGATGCTCGACTTTGACCCAGACCCTCAGACCCTGACTTTTTCGACGCGAGCTGAACCTCAAATCGCTCTGGCTAGATGGACATTGCATTGACCAAAATTGGGCTACCCACACATGTCTATAGGCGGGGGTTTCAAAATATTGTCTTTTCAACCGTACAAAAGGGATGAATGGCTGAGATGACGATACAGTTAAAACATCTTAAAACCACCTGCAGACGTGTTTCTACTGATGTAATTACAACGAAGCATTTTTAGAGTAGACTTTTGACCACCCAGATGATGCCCAAGATCTCCACAAACAGTGCGTCCTACCGCTGTTCGGCTTTTCGGGCAGCTTTGGGGTGTCGACTTTGCATGGCTACACGTGGAATTCTATGGAACCATATGGAAGCGCTTCAGTTGTGGGATTCCTCAGAGGTAGTTTTCCGTATGTTTTCATGAACTTGCAGTTTCAAGATGTTTCAAGCTCTTCTGGCATCAAAGAGCCGGGGCATGCTGTGGTGACCTTCCCGCCATTGCGCCAACGCGTTCATGGCTCCGGGCTGCCGCAAGGGTTTGTCAATTGAACATCAGCGGCAACTGCTGGAACTTGCCAACTCCCAACATCTTGAAACTTGCTGAGATTACTGTGGAAATCGGATTATGATCCCTGAAATTTGGATGGTCGGAACATTATCGTGGTTCATAACATTTCACCATTAAGGAGTGCATCCCATCGTTTCCCAGTTGCTGTACTGTAATGTGACTAGGGTGGCCTAATGTGACCAATTACTTGCCATTGACCAACGTTCAAGGAAACATTTCCTGTAACACTTCCTTGAAAATCAACAAATTGATTGGATTATTGCAGGTTAATATCCCATTTTTGCTGTTTACCACTACCAAGCAATTTCCCAATCGTGAACCAATCCAGTTTTCCTCAAGGATCTAAGGTGTTTCTTCGGTACAATATCCTTTTGCAGCAGTATCTAGACCTTTGATCATTTGATGTTCGACTTCCATTGATCACACAAATGATAAAACCCAGTGGTGAACCCTAAACTTAAAATATTATATTAAGAACAATAAAACATACACACAAATAGATTAGACTAATTAGATTAGATTATATTATACTAGATTGTATATAGATAGCTAGATAGCTAGATAGCTAGATAGCTAGATAGCTAGGTAGGTAGGTAGGTAGGTAGGTAAGGGGTAGATAGTCGAAGGAAGTTTGGAAGTCAAACTTCGGACAATATGGAGAGATGAAAAAGCAGTCAGCAGGGAGAAGAGTCAGAAGAGAAAAGATCAGAAGAAAGAAGATGCAGGTGCGCGAAAAGGTAGGAAAGTCGCGAAACACTGTGTTTTTTCCTGGTTTTGTGGCTCCGGAGGGTTGAAAAGTAGGCTCGCTAAAGCGGCGTGTGCGGAGACATCTGGGGAGATGAGAGATGAAAAGTTGCACGCCGTTGTGGCGCGAAGCACATTTGGAAGTAAAATGTGTTAAAAACTGAGGGGTTCGGACCACTTTTGGAAGTTGAGATGTTGAAAAAGTGCACGCCGTTGTGGCGCGAAGCACATTTCGAAGTCAAAATGTACAAAGCACACCATTCTCGGACCACTTTTGGAAGTTGAGATGTCGAAAAAGTGCACGCCGTTGTGGCGCGAAGCACATTTCGAAGTCAAAATGTACAAAACACCCATTCTCGGACCACTTTTGGAAGTTGAGATGTCGAAAAAGTGCACGCCGTTGTGGCGCGAAGCACATTTCGAAGTCAAAATGTACAAAACACCACATGTTCGCGCCACTTTTGGAGGTTCAGATCTCGAAAAAGTGCACGCCGTTGTGGCGCGAAGCACATTTCGAAGTCAAAATGTACAAAACACTAGGGGTTCGGACCACTTTTGGAGGTTCAGATGTCGCTTCGCTTCGCTTCGGGTCATTACACTACACTATACAATCCACTACACTACAGTACATTACACTACACTACACTCCACAACACTACAACTACAACTACAGAACTACACAACCACACTCCACTACACACCGCTACACTAAATTACACTACACTACATTACACTACACTGAAAGATCGATAGATAGATAGATACATAGAAAATAGATAGGTAGGTAGGTAGATAGTCAGAGAAAGAGAGAGAAAGAGTGAGAGAGATCAAGCACCTTTCAGTCCATCAGTGGCTTCGCTCTGCCATCCCGGATTCACAACAACCAAGCTCTCCTATAGGTTTCCTATTTTTGAAACTTCCGCCACCGCCTTGTGCGGTACTACTGGTATATGTGATTAATGAATATGATATTGATATTGATATTGATTCATTATAATTTATAACAGCAATAGCCTCCGCACCTGTATGTGGTAGACATGTACAGCCTATAGAATGGTAACGGGGCATGGCCGCCTTACTAGCCTTACCGACGTTCCGAGGAGTGGCAGAGACTGTTGGAGCAGCTGAGCGAAGAGAGCGAGCGAAATGTGCCGCTGCACATCATCAACGAAGTCCCGGCGGAGGAGGGCCTCTACCCCCCAGCCCTCTCTGTAAAGGCGGGGGGCCAGGCAGCGTTGAGAGAGGAGAATTTTCTTCCGGAATGGTGAAAAAGAAAGGCCAACAGGAAAAGAGCAGATATGGAAAAGATTGGAACAGTATTTTAAAAAAATGCGAGGCATTGCCTTAGCATTTTTGGATTTGCTGCGTGGCACCTCGATTTGGATTTTGTGGTGCCTCAGGATATCAATCCTGGCCGGATGCTGTCCAGTCACTCGGTCATTTGCGGTGAGCCCCAAAATAGTTGTCCATTCCTAAAGATATTTCAAAGTGGTACCCCCTCATGAATGAACCACAATAAATCGGGGATGCACCAACCCTTGACTGCTAAACCTTATCCTTCAGCACAGTAGTTCAAAGGCTCCAGCCGATGTGTTTCCAGATTTCCCCCGCTGAGATACCAGCACGGTGCAACCTGAGCCGCTGCACAACGATGCCTTCCACAGTTTTGAAGTGACGGGGCCGAAAAGTGAGATCAAGGTGACGAGAAAGTCAAACATCAACTTTTCGGAAAGAGACTGGTCCTTGGCAATTGCCTAACAGGGTTGCATACCCTTTAAAGATGATGAAAGTAATCAAATTTCTCAGTGGACAACCCACCATTTATAGAGGATTTTCTCATTCAAATGTCCATGTATCGCGGATTTTCCATTGCCATGTTTGACTGCTGATCTAAATAAGCTTGTTCTTGGCCTGAGGCATCAGGTTGAATCGGGACCCAAAAACCTGTACCCCTTGCCCACGGGCTTTCACGTAGAATATTGTAGAACTACGTGTCATCACTATCAATCATTTTCAGATTGGACAGTAAGACATAGTTAGGCATTCCCCCTGCACCTATGTGCTTGCTTTCCAAAGCCTGAAACAAGGGCGAAACGGAATCATTGGTGATTTTCTGGCTGCAGTGCGCAAAACATTGTCAGCAGTTCATATATAATATGTCGTACATATAGCTTGCAATCATTCATTTTTTTGGTCGGGGGATATCATCTATTGTTTATGTAAATTTATGTGCATGCATGCGCCTCCAGATGTATCTGGCTAAATCTGAAATCCTCCACCATCTAGGCAGTCGAAGTTGGGGCGGTGAATTATTTGACAGACCTCACCAAGTCGAAGCCGAAGCCTGGACCTGTTGATCGTGGTTGTATAACGTTATTTTTCACTGGTCTAGTTGAACAGTGTTCTTAAATCTCCTGTTGGTTGATGATTGTGGGGAGTTGTGCTATCCAACATGTGTGTATATATATACAGTATATTTATATATATATATTAGCATGTCTCTCTACCATGTTTTTGGGCTATCTCTTTAGGCACTGTTTTACAATTTTTGTTCCTAACTTTTCGGAATTTTGGAATTTTTGTCCCCAACTTTTGGGATTTTTTGTCCCCAACTTTTGGGAATTTTTGCCCCCAACTTTTGGGAATTTTTGCCCCCAACTTTTGGGGAATTGGGAATTTTTGTCCCCAACTTTTGGCCATTTTTGCCCCCAACTTTTATGGATTTGGGAATTTTTGTCCCCAAAAGTTGGGGACAACAATTCCCAAACAGTTGGGGACAATAATTCAATTCCTATGGGAATAATTATTGTCCCCAACTTTTTCGGTTGGGAAAAGTTGAGGACAATAATTTTTCCCATAAGAATTGAATTATTGTCCCCAACTTTTGGGGAATTTGTGTCCCCAACTCTTGGGAATTTTTGTCCCCAATTTTTCCTCAAAAGTTGGGGACAAAAAATCTCAAAAGTTGGGGACAAAAATTCCCCAAAGGTTGGGGACAAAAATTCCCAAAAGTTGGGGACAAAAATTCCCAAAAGTTGGGGACAATAATTACCAAACTTAGGGTCAATAATTAGCCAAACTTGGACAAAATAGCTCTAAAGAAAACGTGGTAGAGCGCCATGCTAATATATATATATAATATATTGTGGGATTGTCATCATCCACGATCATGATAGGAATCCCGATCTTAACCAACAAGCGCAATGAATGGAATGACAGGGGGTGTTGAAGTGTTTTGAACACTGCTCATTTGCAATTATATAAAATTTAACAATTTTCCCGGTGATGTAGAGTTGGTAATCTTTCATTGGCTTTCCTTTCCTGTTGTTTTTTTTCTTGGATGCTGATATTGGTCATGGGGATCCCAATTCCCAATTCCGCCTTATGTTCTGGGCCCATTGACTTACCAACAGCAACTAGCAGTGAGGGCGAATCTTACCCATCGATTATTTGCATTGCTTGGTACTCCTGGCCTGGGTGTCATATTTGATATGTTTGGTTTTTTCAGATGTTGGTTGGGTTCTATATGAGATCGTTTGTGTTTGTATTGATTTTTTTGACTCGCGCAATGCTTTTCGTGTTTCCGTTCGGAAAACATGACAGCGGCACACAAACTAAGTATTTGGCAGTATGGGCTTACTAATTGACCCCATATAACCTCGATCCTGCCAAAATGGAGCAATTTGTCTAAATTGTTTGGTGTTGTCAAACCAGGTAGGCATATGGGAGCCTTGGTAGCTTTTATGGAGGTCCAAGGTGGCTGTTCGATACCCAGGGTGGTAAATTTCATACGGTCGCGGATGTTGGTTCATAGTTACAAGATGTACCCCATGGTACGCTTCAGTGAATGCCAGTTCATACCGGTGGGCTCTGGGAGCTCCACATCTGTAAGGAGAAGGTAGTCACAAGAATGAATGTGTTGGGCCAAATATCATGGCATGTTCAACTGAGTAAGGGTGGCGCATGATATGTCCCAAAATTGAAGGCGTGTTTGTATTGTGTCGTATTAGTTTCATATGCTTGAATCTAGTGGGTGATGGCTTCTTGTATCCCCTTTCTGCCGGGAATCCAAGGAAATCAAGATCCGGAACTCCTAGCAGCGATGACCAGGCAGTAGCTGCAGGGACTCCTGTAATGTCCCGTCAGCAGCTGAGATTTTTTTTCCCTTCTGATCCCTTCTGATATTTTACAATATTATACAAAATAAAACATAATAAAACATATGATCACTATCAACCATTTTCAGATTGGACAGTAAGACATAGTGACATAGTTAGACATTCCCCCTGCACCTATGTGCTTGCTTTCCAAAGCCTGAAACAAGGGACCGAGACGGAATCATTGGTGATTTTCTGGCTGCAGTGCGCAAAACATTGTCAGCAATTCATATATAATATGTCGTACATATAGCTTGCAATCATTCATTTTTTTGGTCGGGGGATATCATCTATTGTTTATGTAAATTTATGTGCATGCATGCGCCTCCAGATGTATCTGGCTAAATCTGAAATCCTCCACCATCTAGGCAGGCGAAGTTGGGGCGGTGAATTATTTGACAGACCTCACCAAGTCGAAGCCGAAGCCTGGACCTGTTGATCGTGGTTGTATAACGTTATTTTTCATTGGTCTAGTTGAACAGTGTTCTTAAATCTCCTGTTGGTTGATGATTGTGGGGAGTTGTGCTATCCAACATGTGTGTATATATACAGTATGTATATATATATATATATATTGGTCATCATCCACGATCATGATAGGAATCCCGATCTTAACCAACAAGCGCAATGAATGGAATGACAGGGGGTGTTGAAGTGTTTTGAACACTGCTCATTTGCAATTATATAAAATTTAACAATTTTCCCGGTGATGTAGAGTTGGTAATTTTTCATTGACTTTCCTGTTGTTTTTTTCCTTGGATGCTGATATTGGTCATGGGGATCCCAATTCCCAATTCCGCCCAATAGTAAAGGCTTATGTTCTGGGCCCATTTACTTACCAACAGCAACTAGCAGTGAGGGCGAATCTTACCCATCGATTATTTGGGGTAGTTGCTTGCATTGCTTGGTACTCCTGGCCTGGGCGTCATGTTTGATATGTTTGGTTTTCTCAGATGTTGGTTGGGTTCTATATGAGATCGTTTGTGTTTGTAATGATTTGTTTGACTCGCGCAATGCTTTTCGTGTTTCCGTTCGGAAAGCATGACAGCGGCACACAAGCTAAGTATTTGGCAGTATGGGTTTACTAATTGACCCCATTTACTTCGATCCTGCCAAAATGGAGCAATTTGTCTGAATTGTTTGGTGTTGTCAAACCAGGTAGGCATATGGGAGCCTTGGTAGCTACCCAGGGTGGTAAATTTCATAAGGTCGCGGATGTTGGTTCATAGTTACAAGATGTACCCCATGGCCCATGGTACGCTTCAGTGAATGCCAGTTCATACCAGTGGGCTCTGGGAGCTCCACATCTGTAAGGAGAAGGTAGTCACAAGAATGAATGTGTTGGGCCAAATATCATGGCATGTTCAAGTGGGTAAGGGTGGCGCGTGATATGTCCCAAAATTGAAGGCGTGTTTGTATTGTGTCGTATTAGTTTCATATGCTTGAATCTAGTGGGTGATGGCTTCTTGTATCCCCTTTCTGCCGGGAATCCAAGGAAATCAAGATCCGGAACTCCTAGCAGCGATGACCAGGCAGTAGCTGCAGGGACTCCTGTAATGTCCCGTCAGCAGCTGTGAATTCACTTTCCTTCTGATATTATACAACATAAAACATATGTATTTTTGTCAATCATTTAGTTCACATCTACACACATGCATGCTGTATCGATATTGGCGTTGATTGGGGTTGGTACCCCTCCTTGCATGGTGGCTTGAAGCTGGTTCCCATAGTTCCCTTGTTTCCCCTGCAGGGCCGTATGCCACTGACATTGACCTTGAAAAGCAATGAGGAGGCCCAGGTGGAAGCTTTCCGAGTGACAGAGGCGTCTGCCGGTGAGCCTTTGCCCAAGAGCCAATGGCTTCGATGGATCAAACCCAGATTGAACTACATTGCTGGAACCCTGGTGGTGTTGAACACAATCTTGATGCTGCTTGGATTGTAAGGATGGCAAAAGGGTCCGGTGCTTGTGCTTGAGTTGAATCTATCCCCTTTTACCAAGGTATGTCAGTATTTTGCATGAGTTCCTCAATTTGGTTGAACAGGGAGACAATCTAAAGATCCACTTCCTATTGGTTAAGATGCGCCGTTTTCACTGGTTCCTGAGCCAATTTTTTTCTACCTCGCCCTTTTGGTTCGGTAGGGACGAGCGCCTGGGGCCCGGTCGTCCGTCATTCGCCATGGGCTCTGCTCCGTCAACGGCAGAGAGCGGTGACACGACCAGAGCCATCCTTGCGGAGCGAGGATGGAAGAAGCCTGGCGGAAGTCCGGCCTGGGAGGAGGGAAAAATCCGAATCTGGGTCAACGTTGGCTAGACACAAAAAGTACTTTAATCTGTTGCTATCAGTGGTAAAATGTACTGTACTCACCAGCTCAAAATGATCCAACATCCACCGATCCACCAGGGTGTTTCCATCAATGCGATAGCTGGATGGTTCATTTCATGGAAAACCACCCAATAAAATGGATGATTTCGGGGCACCCCCATTTGCGGAAACCCCCATATGATGAATCCACGAACATATCATATCCAATATATGTAATTAACAAGATTTAACAGGGATATCATTGGGAGACCGGGGGCAGCTATACATGGATGAATTATAGTGACATATAGTGACCACTGTGACGTCAGTGGAATGACGGGGAATTGTAAGGGAATCGTCCCCATAGCTGGCAGTATGAGAACCGCTATTTTCAGGGTAGTCAGTTATGCTAATTCAGCCAGATAAATACGAACAATTTGGATTTCACTGATTTAACAGAAAATAGTGCTATTCTTTATAATGGTGATATAAGGGGACGTAGTGGGAATGAATCCCAGAAGATTAATCCAGATGTAGTTCAACATATAGGTTTCATTTTATGGATCCAATTGTCAATGGTATATGTGGGATAAGGTTGGTGAATGGATATTCATGTGGTAAACCATAGTATATAAACCATCCCCAAGTTTCCAATGGTACAATAGCCATTGCCAATTGGCTATTTATTATTGGTTTGAACACGTTATAATCAGATTTGTTCCTCATTTTGTTCTTGCGGGGGAGATGTTTTGGGTAAACAGTGTTTTTTGCACTTTGGTTGGTGGGCAAGTATCGTCAAACATTTCCCTTGTTGCGGGGGATCCTATGACTAAACTAAACCTCCACCGTAACCATTTGTACCGTGAACAGAGGGTGTTTGTAATCTTAGGGACCCCTTAATACATGGAAATCTTTAGATGTTGAGACAGTTTATTTAGATTGTTTGATATTGTTTGTTAATTGGCTTAAAATCCTCTCTGCAAGCTGGGCTTTGGAAACAGCCCTGCCAAGTTTCTTGCAGTAAGGTGACCTCCAGTGTGAATCAGCCTCGGTGATGAATTCTTTTCGCTTTCCCACATTACTATGAGAGTAGTACGGGTCGGATGGTCTTTTGCTTGACTTTTCTATTCAAGTGGTGCAATTGGTGAGCAAACACTGTTTAGCCAAAAACAAACAAAACCAATAACACAAGGAAAACCTAACAATCCTGAGATATTAGAATTAGAAAACAACAATGTCACTTTTATGTAGTCAAAGCACTGAAGAACATCGCTGTTAAGTTGAGTTTGGATCACCGGTAGCACAGGTACCACCGGCACTATAGGGGGTCTTGTGGATACCAAAAATTGTGGCAGTGTTGGCGCTAGGCTAGACCCAAACTGGGGGTTCTTAAATTACCCTAATCATCCAACATTGGTCATTATTTTATTATGCATTGTTTGCATCCGGAAACCCTAAGGCTCCAAGTCTCAGAATACGTCAGAATACCCATATCTATCCATATCTACCATCGGGAAACCAAGGAAGATGAAGCGCATCGGGCAAGGTGGTTCTGCCAAGGCCTGGCTAGTCGAATCTGCTGGAGAGAAACAAGCAGTTTCTCGGCTGCGAGGTGTCGGATATTTACGGCGTAGACCATCAACCCTCACCCGACTCGGAAAAGACTAATTACTATGCAAAACGTCAGTGTTTGTTTGAACAGCTTGCTTTTTGGGTTTCAGATATATAATTCATGTGTTTTTCATTTAAGAAATAAGTGCGCCTTTTGATCGCAATCATATTTCGTGTGCACGCGGCATAGTTTGCTTGTTTTGGTCGTGTGGGCCGTCATGAAGCAGGGGAACAAATTAGACTTGGCGAGTACAAATAATTGGCATTGTGGCTTGCACTCACTGGAGTTGATTGGGTGGTTAGAGGCCCTTGGCAGCCAGCGGCATGGCTTTGCAGCCGTGTTTGCGGTTGAATTAGAACATTACATTTTCTTGAACTTGTTTGATCTCAAAGTAGCCGAAAACACAAAATATACAACCTTTGGATTTCCAGGTATGAACAACTTTCATGTCCATCCAACATGTGCAAGTACCGCATGTATACAATATGTTTTTGTCACCTTTGCGTTTGTGTTTGGGTGAAACATTGTTTTGAAATTGCAACCTGTCATTGGCCAACACTGGAATTTAGGGTCAAATGACGATCCGCTGGAGAGTTCGCCATGTTCGTTGGTGAAGGTCATTGATCCAGAAAAACATCCATAGGTCAGGGCAGAGAGCTGTTATTTTTCTGTACTCATGGGAAGATGATGGTTCACCAGTGGTTTTTGGGGTAATTTTACCTCATCCTTGGACCACGCCTTTGTGCCCTTCTCATGTTCCCCTTGCCGAGAGAGCCAGGTGTGCAAAGTCGTCGACCTTTCCAAAACAGATGACGATGATGCTGGCGCATTCAAAGAAGCAACGTTGCTAGCTTCCCTTCATCATCCCTACATTGTCAGGTACCGGGACAGTTTCTGTACAGATGCTTGGCAACATTTGAGAAAAAAAAAACAGCCCCAGATGGGATTATATTCGTTTCCAAGCTAAATTTACAGAAATCTCATTTGGTAATGGAACTCACAGGCCCTCTGAGAGGAATTCAATGTCCCCACATTCAAAGGAGTTTCTGCATTTGCCGCGCAATTCATTTGTCAACTTTATGTCATGAATTTGCTGTATTTGCTGCGTGACCCTAGTTTTACCCGTGTTTCAGGGTATTCAATACATTTCAATAATATATACTAAGGATGGTATTGTGTGCTTGATCATGGATTTTTGTGATGCTGGCGAGCTTGCAAAGCAGATCCGTCGCACCCGGCGGAAACATGAGAAGCTTCCAGAAAAACTGGTCCTTCGCTGGTTCACGTGGCTGGGCGCTAGCCAGGAATAACTACTAAGTACCACAAATAATGTGGGACCACCATTTAGAGGTTTCCTAAGTCATAGGGGTACCCTAAATCATCCATTTATAATCGAAGGAAGTTTAGAAGTAATTCCGACAATATGGACAGATGAAAAGCAGAGGTGGAGCAAAAGAATAGAGAAGAGAAGAGCAGAAGAGAGAAGATCAGAGAAGAGAAAGTCTCAGAAGAAAGAAGATCCAGGTGCCCGAAAAGGTAGGAAAGTCGCGAACCACTGTTTTTCCAATGATTTGTGGCTCCAGAGGATCGAAAAGTAGGCTCGCTAAAGCGGCGGGTGCGGAGCCAGCTGGCCAGATGAGAGATGAACAATTGCGCGCCGTTGTGGCACGAAACACATTTCCAAGTCAAACTGTACAAAACCCCCCATGCTCGGACCACTTTTGGAATTTGAGATGTCGAAAAAGTGCACGCCGTTGTGGCGCGAAGCACATTTCGAAGTCAAAATGTACAAAACTTCACATGCTCGGACCACTTTTGGAAGTTTAGATGTCGAAAAAGTGCACGCCGTTGTGGCGCGAAGCACATTTTGGAGTCAAAATGTACAAAACACTAGGGGTTCGGACCACTTTTGGACGTTCAGATGTCGTTTTGCGTGGCAGGCGCAAGGGATTGTGCACCTTGTCAAAAGTGGGCAAAACGCGAAGGTTTTCCAAAAACGATGGCAGGCGTGGGACATTTGAAGAGGATCTGCAAAGATGCATTTTCCGTGGCAGGCGCAGTACAAGAGACATGTTCATCAGAGCTGTTAGAAGGTCCGGGCGCTGATTTCCTGAGAGGGGTTGCATTTTGGAGCATCAGATCTTCAGGTTTGCTGAGATGATTTTGCGCGACAGGTGCAGCACTTCGTATGACCTGGCATCACTTTTTCGTGGCAGGCGCAGTACTTTAGACAGGTGGACTGGAGAAACCGCAAAACGCATTGGTACGAGGCCGTCAGCTCTGCACTCAACTTTCCATTTTTGAAGGAAGTCTCGCAGAATGGTTTCGTTTTGATGTTGTCAACTTCGGAAAATGTGGAAATCTCGCAGAATTGCTTCGTTTTTGATGTTATCAAGTTCAAAAATTGAGGAAGTCTCGCAGAATTGCTGCGTTTTAGATGTTGTCAAGCTCAAAAACTGAGGAAGTCTCGCAGAATAGCTTCGTTTTCACGCTTGCGGATAGACAGATAGACAGACAGACAGACAGACAGACAGATAGATAGATAGATAGAAAAGATAGATAGACACATAGATACATAGATAGATAGATAGATAGATAGATAGAAGGATAGATAGATAGATAGATAGATAGATAGGTAGGTAGGTAGGTAGGTAGGTAGGTAGGCAGGTGAAAGAGAGAGAAAGAGAGAGAAAGAGAGGAGACCTCAACCACCTTTCGGTCCATCAGTGGCCTCGCTCTGCCATCCGTGATACACAACAACCAACCTCTCCTATATTTCTTATTTTTGAAACTTCCGCCGCCGCCTTGTGCGGTACTACTGGTAATTATAGATGGATTTTGCATGAATTTTTTCCATCCAGCTTTTGGGGTACCCCCATTTTAGGAAACCTCCAGTGATTGTTAAGAAGTTGGAACTTTAATGGGGTGACTTGAGTCGAGATCGGCAAACTCTGGAGATTTCCAGGCAAGCTATGTTGGCTCTGAAGTATGTCCATGACAAGCACATCGTTCACAGGGATTTGAAGCCAGGTGCGCCCGATTGCTGTTCGTGCATATGGCCCCCAAGATTTGCGAGAGCTAGCTTCGTGCATATGAATATGCCCATCATTTACAATCATAATTTTTCATATGAACCCATATGTATACAATATATATATATAATATGTTATAAGTATATAACTAGCCCAGGACCCGGGGAAGGTCAAGATTGGACATGACTTCAAATATTGGCACTGATCGAATCAAACATGGAAGTGAACATCCCTCCATGCACATGAACAGGAAACATGCTCCATGTAGAGCCTTTCTTAGGGGTTTCATTTTCCAGTTGAATTGTTGTTTCAGCTACCGCAGATACTTGTTTTGTTCAGCGGGGAAACCCTGTTTTGGAATGCTAAAGCTATCTAGAAGTTGTTTTTTCTCCTCCTAATTTGAGATCCCACCTGGATGGGGTATACCGGTATACCCAAAATTATGACAATGTCAAAATATGCTTGATGAGGGAAATTAAGAATGATGACCACCCGTCAAGTTTAAGTTGGTACCATGTGGTAGCCTATCTTCAGACAAAGCCCACCATGGTTGGAAGCACCAAAAAAAATCAAAAAGGTATGTGTCAAAATTAAAGATTTGGGGGACCACAGATTTAAATTTAGGTTTACTATTAATTTTTTTTTTCCCCTCCTATTTTGGGGTACCACATTTTGACTCATCCCATTTTGATTCATCCCCAAACGCGTCGCTGAGGGAATTTGTTTCTCACTAAGCGCGGGAGCATCCAGCTAGGGGACTTTGGCATAGCCACCTCTTCCACATCTGATTCGACTATCAAGAGTCATGGCTGATGCTGATGGCATGATGATGGGATGATGGCCAGGTAGCGATTTATTGGAGCTAGCTACCCATTTTATAGACGATATAGACGGCCTAAGGGCTATGGAACGGGATATTTTAATAATACCTCCATTTTAGGATCCTGAAATTCCCATTCAATGATGGGTTTAGCGCATGTAACATTGGGAAGATTACCAAGAAACCATGGGTGCAATGCAATATATATATATATAACCATCCTGAAGTAGATAGAATCTCTGGAATTTCAAAAAAAAAACGGTCTGAAAAAAACCTATAGATAGAATCCCAAAATGGCTCAAAAATCCGGGTCGATGATTGGTAAAAAAAAGGTCCCTCAAAAATGATCACAAAAGCGGTCATTTAGCTTGTGATTTGGTTGTTTGGGCCTTTGGAATGACTACCAAATGTTGTCATTATGCTGGTGTATTAGGTTCTGGCATGCGAATTTCAGCCCAAAATCTTCCAAAGAAATTGTCACTGTTGCTGGTGGTTCCCAGAAATATAGATCCTTTGGCAGTGGTATTCAATAGTCAAATCCAAGAAAGGAATGGGTGTGGGTCAAATTATCACACCCCAAAATTGATAGTTGATTTTTTAAGATGTGAAATTTTGAAATTGAGCTGGGGCCAAATTTGACCCGTACCCATTTAGCTACAGTGTGCTCACCGGACCTCCTGGAGATTTTGAATTTGGACATCGATCAAAATCGGATACTTTAAAAAGTAATCTGTATAGAATTGGGTGTAATTGGGACAGAAGGTTTTGATCCATCCCCATATTCTTCTATATTCCTTCATATTCTATCTATGGTATCAACCACTGTGCTGACCCCTCCCTACTGCATTCTGCTAACAACGGCAGGTTTCCAAAAACCATTCCATGTGTTGTAGATTCTTTGGCAATGGTATTTTTGGTTCCCGGGATGCCCAAATAGTCAAACCCAATAAAGGAATGGGTGTGAGTCCAAATATCATCCCTACAAAATTGATAGTTGATTATTTAAGATGTGCAATTTTGTAATTGAGTTGGTGTGCTCACCGGACCTCCTGGAGATTTTGAATTTGGACATCGATCAAAACCAGCTACTTTAAAAAGTAATCTGTATAGAATTGGGTGTAATTGGGACAGAAGGTTTTGATCCATCCCCATATTCTTCTATATTCTTTCATATTCTATCTATGGTATCAACCACTGTGCTGACCCCTCCCTACTGCATTCTGCTAACAACGGCAGGTTTCCAAAAACCATTCCATGTGTTGTAGATTCTTTGGCAATGGTATTTTTGGTTCCCGGGATGCCCAAATAGTCAAACCCAATAAAGGAAAAAAAATAAAGGAATGGGTGTGGGTAAAATGATCACCCCTACAAAATTGATAATTGATAATTGAAGATGTGCAATTTTGTAATTGAGTTGGTGTGCTCACCGGACCTCCTGGAGATTTTGAATTCGAACGTAGATATAAACTGTTGGATAGTCAAACTCTATATAAGATCATGAACCAACAGTGGTTTTGAATACAGCCCAAGAGGTATTTTCAGAATCCATAAATTATAATACCACTTTGGATAATATATTGATATAGCACATGTTGTTAAATACCACTGGGTATAATCCAATTAAGAAAATTGTCTTTGACAACATGTGATTGTTTTTCCAACCGGGACCTTTTCAGGGATATTCTAACTATAGATCTTGCCAGGGGCTGACAACTCGGCTCCCCCGTAAAGGGAGCATAGCCAAAAAACGTGACGGGATTCCAGAATCCCGTCATCACCCCCCTATGTGGGGGACGCCCCGGAAAGCGACCGAGTGTGCTACTATAGTGTGTAAGGTGCACTCTGTGTGAAATATATGCTTTGTATGTGAATGATATCAAATATGTAGATATAATATGTATGGTGTTTACTATGATTGAAACATATGCTTTATATGTGAATGATATAAAATATGTAAATATAATATGTATGGTTGGATAGTCAAACTCTAGATAGAATATCCTCTAGATCCATGAAAAGACTGAATTTTTAAAGGATGCTTGGAATTAAGCATGTATTTGTGGTGCTCCCTGCCCCTTCCTCCACATCTACCCATCCAAAGTTCATTCTTGGAGCTGTTTGAAAGCAAGCTTTAAAAGGAAAATGGCATTAAAAAAAAGGAATCCGAGATCTCACCATCCAAAGTTGAAATTGCAGGTTTTTGAAAAGAAACCACAAAAGGAAAATGGGATGAGAAAAGAAATAATCCACGATCTTACCATTCAAAGTTCAATCTTGCAGGTTTTTGAAAAGAAAGCTGCGAAAGGAAAAGGAGATGAGAAAAGTACAGAAAAGTAGGAATCCAAGATCGACCATCCAAAGTTCATTTGTGCTAGTGCTGTGCTAGGACAGTTGGGCAAAACTATAGATAGAATATCCTCTAGAACCATGAAAAGACTGAATTTTTAAAGGATGCTTGGAGTTGAGCATGTATTTGTGGTGTTCCCTGCCCCTTCCTCCACATCTACCCATCCAAAGTTCATTCTTGGAGCTGTTTGAAAGCAAGCTTTAAAAGGAAAATGGCATTAAAAAAGTAGGAATCCAGGATCTTACCATCCAAAGTTGAAATTGCAGGTTTTTGAAAAGAAGCAACAAAAGGAAAATGGGATGAGAAAAGAAGAAATCCACGATCTTACCATTCAAAGTTCAGTCTTGCAGGTTTTTGAATAGAAAGCCGTGAAAGGAAAAGGAGATGAGAAAAGTACAGAAAAGTAGGAATCCAAGATCGACCATCCAAAGTTCATTTGTGCTAGTACTGTGCTAGGACAGTTGGGCAAAACTATAGATAGAATATCCTCTAGAACCATGAAAAGACTGAATTTTTAAAGGATGTTTGGGATTAAGCATGTATTTGTGGTGCTCCCTGCCCCTTCCTCCACATCTACCCATCCAAAGTTCATTCTTGGAGCTGTTTGAAAGCAAGCTTTAAAAAGAAAATGGCATTAAAAAAGTAGGAATCCAAGATCTCACCATCCAAAGTTGAAATTGCAGGTTTTTGAAAAGAAACCACAAAAGGAAAATGGGATGAGAAAGAAAATCCACGATCTTACCATTTAAAGTTCAGTCTTGCAGGTTTTTGAATAGAAAGCTGTGAAAGGAAAAGGAGATGAGAAAAGTATAGAAAAGTAGGAATCCAAGATCGACCATCCAAAGTTCATTTGTGCTAGTGCTGTGCTAGGACAGTTGGGCAAAACTATAGATAGAATATCCTCTAGAACCATGAAAAGACTGAATTTTTTAAGGATGCTTGGAGTTAAGCATGTATTTGTGGTGTTCCCTGCCCCTTCCTCCACATCTACCCATCCAAAGTTCATTCTTGGAGCTGTTTGAAAGCAAGCTTTAAAAGGAAAATGGCATTAAAAAAGTAGGAATCCAAGATCTTACCATCCAAAGTTGAAATTGCAGGTTTTGAAAAGAAACCACAAAAGGAAAATGGGATGAGAAAAGAAGGAATCCACGATCTTACCATTTAAAGTTCAGTCTTGCAGGTTTTTGAATAGAAAGCTGTGAAAGGAAAAGGAGATGAGAAAAGTATAGAAAAGTAGGAATCCAAGATCGACCATCCAAAGTTCATTTTTGCTAGTGCTGTGCTAGGACAGTTGGGCAAAACTATAGATAGAATATCCTCTAGAACCATGAAAAGACTGAATTTTTAAAGGATGCTTGGAGTTGAGCATGTATTTGTGGTGCTCCCTGCCCCTTCCTCCACATCTACCCATCCAAAGTTCATTCTTGGAGCTGTTTGAAAGCAAACTTTAAAAGGAAAATGGCATTAAAAAGTAGGAATCCAAGATCTTACCATCCAAAGTTGAAATTGCAGGTTTTTGAAAAGAAGCAACAAAAGGAAAATGGGATGAGAAAAGAAATAATCCACGATCTTACCATTCAAAGTTCAGTCTTGCAGGTTTTTGAATAGAAAGCTGTGAAAGGAAAAGGAGATGAGAAAAGTACAGAAAAGTAGGAATCCAAGATCGACCATCCAAAGTTCATTTGTGCTAGTACTGTGCTAGGACAGTTGGGCAAAACTATAGATAGAATATCCTCTAGAACCATGAAAAGACTGAATTTTTAAAGGATGTTTGGGATTAAGCATGTATTTGTGGTGCTCCCTGCCCCTTCCTCCACATCTACCCATCCAAAGTTCATTCTTGGAGCTGTTTGAAAGCAAGCTTTAAAAGGAAAATGGCATCTAAAAAGTAGGAATCCAAGATCTTACCATCCAAAGTTGAAATTGCAGGTTTTTGAAAAGAAACAACAAAAAGAAAATGGGATGAGAAAAGAAGAAATCCACGATCTTACCATTCAAAGTTCAGTCTTGCAGGTTTTTGAATAGAAAGCTGTGAAAGGAAAAGGAGATGAGAAAAATATAGAAAAGTAGGAATCCAAGATCGACCATCCAAAGTTCATTTGTGCTAGTACTGTGCTAGGACAGTTGGGCAAAACTATAGATAGAATATCCTCTAGAACCATGAAAAGACTGAATTGTTTAAGGATGTTTGGGATTAAGATTAAGCATGTATTTGTGGTGCTCCCTGCCCCTTCCTCCACATCTACCCATCCAAAGTTCATTCTTGGAGCTGTTTGAAAGCAAACTTTAAAAGGAAAATGGCATTAAAAAGTAGGAATCCAGGATCTTACCATCCAAAGTTGAAATTGCAGGTTTTTGAAAAGAAGCAACAAAAGGAAAATGGGATGAGAAAAGAAGAAATCCACGATCTTACCATTCAAAGTTCAGTCTTGCAGGTTTTTGAATAGAAAGCTGTGAAAAGAAAAGGAGACGAGAAAAGTATAGAAAAGTAGGAACCCAAGATCGACCATCCAAAGTTCATTTTTGCTAGTGCTGTGCTAGGACAGTTGGGCAAAACTATAGATAGAATATCCTCTAGAACCATGAAAAGACTGAATTTTTAAAGGATGCTTGGAGTTGAGCATGTATTTGTGGTGTTCCCTGCCCCTTCCTCCACATCTACCCATCCAAAGTTCATTCTTGGAGCTGTTTGAAAGCAAGCTTTAAAAGGAAAATGGCATTAAAAAAGTAGGAATCCAAGATCTTACCATCCAAAGTTGAAATTGCAGGTTTTTGAAAAGAAGCAACAAAAGGAAAATGGGATGAGAAAAGAAGGAATCCACGATCTTACCATTCAAAGTTCAGTCTTGCAGGTTTTTGAATAGAAAGCCGTGAAAGGAAAAGGAGATGAGAAAAGTACAGAAAAGTAGGAATCCAAGATCGACCATCCAAAGTTCATTTTGTGCTAGTACTGTGCTAGGACAGTTGGGCAAAACTATAGATAGAATATCCTCTAGAACCATGAAAAGACTGAATTTTTAAAGGATGTTTGGGATTAAGCATGTATTTGTGGTGCTCCCTGCCCCTTCCTCCACATCTACCCATCCAAAGTTCATTCTTGGAGCTGTTTGAAAGCAAACTTTAAAAGGAAAATGGCATTAAAAAGTAGGAATCCAAGATCTTACCATCCAAAGTTGAAATTGCAGGTTTTTGAAAAGAAGCAACAAAAAGAAAATGGGATGAGAAAAGAAGGAATCCACGATCTTACCATTCAAAGTTCAGTCTTGCAGGTTTTTGAATAGAAAGCTGTGAAAAGAAAAGGAGACGAGAAAAGTATAGAAAAGTAGGAACCCAAGATCGACCATCCAAAGTTCATTTTTGCTAGTGCTGTGCTAGGACAGTTGGGCAAAACTATAGATAGAATATCCTCTAGAACCATGAAAAGACTGAATTTTTAAAGGATGCTTGGAGTTGAGCATGTATTTGTGGTGTTCCCTGCCCCTTCCTCCACATCTACCCATCCAAAGTTCATTCTTGGAGCTGTTTGAAAGCACACTTTAAAAGGAAAATGGCATTAAAAAAGTAGGAATCCAAGATCTTACCATCCAAAGTTGAAATTGCAGGTTTTTGAAAAGAAGCAACAAAAGGAAAATGGGATGAGAAAAGAAATAATCCACGATCTTACCATTCAAAGTTCAGTCTTGCAGGTTTTTGAATAGAAAGCTGTGAAAAGAAAAGGAGACGAGAAAAGTATAGAAAAGTAGGAATCCAAGATCGACCATCCAAAGTTCATTTTTGCTAGTGCTGTGCTAGGACAGTTGGGCAAAACTATAGATAGAATATCCTCTAGAACCATGAAAAGACTGAATTTTTAAAGGATGCTTGGAGTTGAGCATGTATTTGTGGTGTTCCCTGCCCCTTCCTCCACATCTACCCATCCAAAGTTCATTCTTGGAGCTGTTTGAAAGCAAGCTTTAAAAGGAAAATGGCATTAAAAAAGTAGGAATCCAAGATCTTACCATCCAAAGTTGAAATTGCAGGTTTTTGAAAAGAAGCAAACAAAAGGAAAATGGGATGAGAAAAGAAGAAATCCACGATCTTACCATTCAAAGTTCAGTCTTGCAGGTTTTTGAATAGAAAGCTGTGAAAGGAAAAGGAGATGAGAAAAGTACAGAAAAGTAGGAATCCAAGATCGACCATCCAAAGTTCATTTGTGCTAGTGCTGTGCTAGGACAGTTGGGCAAAACTATAGATAGAATATCCTCTAGAACCATGAAAAGACTGAATTTTTAAAGGATGCTTGGAATTAAGCATGTATTTGTGGTGTTCCCTGCCCCTTCCTCCACATCTACCCATCCAAAGTTCATTCTTGGAGCTGTTTGAAAGCAAGCTTTAAAAGGAAAATGGCATTAAAAAAGTAGGAATCCAAGATCTTACCATCCAAAGTTGAAATTGCAGGTTTTTGAAAAGAAGCAACAAAAGGAAAATGGGATGAGAAAAGAAGGAATCCACGATCTTACCATTCAAAGTTCAGTCTTGCAGGTTTTTGAATAGAAAGCCGTGAAAGGAAAAGGAGATGAGAAAAGTACAGAAAAGTAGGAATCCAAGATCGACCATCCAAAGTTCATTTGTGCTAGTACTGTGCTAGGACAGTTGGGCAAAACTATAGATAGAATATCCTCTAGAACCATGAAAAGACTGATTTTTTTAAGGATGTTTGGGATTAAGCATGTATTTGTGGTGCTCCCTGCCCCTTCCTCCACATCTACCCATCCAAAGTTCATTCTTGGAGCTGTTTGAAAGCAAACTTTAAAAGGAAAATGGCATCTAAAAAGTAGGAATCCAAGATCTTACCATCCAAAGTTGAAATTGCAGGTTTTTGAAAAGAAGCAACAAAAAGAAAATGGGATGAGAAAAGAAGGAATCCACGATCTTACCATTCAAAGTTCAGTCTTGCAGGTTTTTGAATAGAAAGCCGTGAAAGGAAAAGGAGATGAGAAAAGTATAGAAAAGTAGGAATCCAAGATCGAGCATCCAAAGTTCATAATTGAAGGTTTTTGAATGGAAAACTGTGTTTGAAAGGAAGAGTGCATGAGAAAAGTAGGAATAGCTGATCTTACCATCCAAAGTTCATTCTCGCAGCTGTTTGAAAAGGAAACTTGGAAGGAAAATGGAAGGAAACAAATTGGAATGCACGATCTTACCATCCAAAGTTCATAATTAAAGGTTTTTGAATGGAAAACTGTGACAGGAAAAGGAGATGAGAAAAGCAGGAATCAAACTTTGAAAGGAACATGGCATGAGAAAAGCTGGAATCCACGATCTTACCATCCAAAGTTCACAATTACAGATTTTTGAAGGGAAAAGTGTGAAAGGAAAAGGAAATGAAAAAAGTAGGAATCTACGTCTACGATCTTACCATCCAAAGTTCATTTTTTGCAGCTGTTTGAAAAGGAAAATTTGAAAGAAAAAAATAAATTGGAAGGTTTTGAAAAGGAAAGGAAAAAAAAACACATTTTGAGCATCCTGGAGTAGATTTTGGAATATTCTATCTAGGGGGTCCGAATATATAGTTTAGTATTGGGTCAAAAAACCCTGGTTTTTTTCAAAAAAAAAACGCCCCCTACGATACGGGATTCTATCTACTCCAGGATTGTTATATATATATATATTATATTAATTATTATATGGTATTATACTCAATCATCAACCCCTCAAAATCCTGTCTTTGTCCGGCTTTGCTGTGTGAGGGCTGCTGTGTTGTTCCCATGTTTCTTCGGACTGCAGGGATTTATTTTTATGAGGGGCCACATGAACAAACCAAGGAACGGTACTCCGTACTACATCAGCCCGGAGGTGTGGGAAGGCGAACCCTTTACGACTTCATCTGATGTGTGGTCTATGGGATGCATTCTCTTCGAGATTTGCGCGTTGCAAGTCCCTTTTCCCGGAAATAGCGCCCCAGAAATCGCGAAGAGGAATCTGGGCCCAGTCAGTTTCAGGCGTTTCAGGTTAGTTTGTCGCACGGGATGTTTGATCCTCATGCTGCATGTTGGATTATGTTTGTATCAGCCGCGCTCTTCCTCTTTCCAAGTCGTATTCTATCATATTCTGTCTGTCTATCCCTCTTTTTTGTCATCCAACAGCCACACGCGGAACCCCCGCGTTTTCATTCATTTTCCGTTTCCTCTGAGATTTCATCCATCGGCATCGAAGATAAAAAACATACAGTAGAATATAAAGCAATTTAAAGATGATTAACCCATGTTAAGCCAATATGAAGCGAGATGTTAAGCCAAAAATGAGGCCAAAACCAAGCCAGATTTTGTTCGCCACAGAGCTGCACGGCTTGAGGATCTGTCAGGGATCCATGCCCAGCTTTCCGGACTGCTACTCAGACTTTTTGCGCAAGCTCTGCCTGCAGCTGCTGGAAAGAAATCCCGAAAATCGGCCATCCGCAGGCGGAAAACATTCAAATTCATAACACACATATCAAATGGCAGGCAATGACTTTATAGTTTATATTATTTTAGTCATGTTTTGGAGGCAAAAAAACATAAAACAACTACAGTCAATGCATTTCACTGGATGCTGCATGGATTTGACATCATATGGATGTTGAATTGAGTGACGATATTGATGTGACATGATGCTTGGCCTTGGTTTTAGGTCCCAAACCTCCCCGCCAGGGGATGTGCTGAGACTTCCTGAAATTTGGGCGGTCCGAGAGCAACTCCTGCAGGAGCAGGTTGGGTCATGTCCGGTCGTGGCGGGTGGTACCCCAGGGTAAGCTGATGTGGAAAACGGAAAACCCATGGTTTGCCTGATCGAAAAAAATGTGGGTTTTCCACCACGCAACTGTTAGTTTACATAGCGTACCTGAAATTTCCGGGGGAAAGCCCAACATTCCGTTGATTCTCACCATTGTATCAGTTTAAAATTTCAATTTTTGCAAATAATCCCTTATTATACCGCCATTTTCGGACAAACTCATCTGGAGGGAACTACTGGAAACCCTGCTTCTCGCAACCAAATATTGACAGATATTGACAGTATTCTCAAACATGTCCCCTTAAAACAAAAACAGTTGGTTGACTGGTTGATGACCGTTGGGGTTTGTTATGTAGTATATTGATCTATATTTGGATGATCATCCCTAAACAGGGGACACCCTTAACCAACCATTGAATGAAGGCTTTCTGATTAGGTGCTTGACACTGCCCAAATGGAGATGCAAGCCCTCCATTTCTGTTGGTCTATAGGCATTTCTGTTGGTCCATAGGCTCTTACTGGGAACATGAGCGATTTTTTGCATAAATCAACAGGCAGTCGTGGGGAAACCATGGGAAGCCTCCAAAGAAATGGAAGTTTTGCGTCTTGATGCCAGGCGCTGCTGCAGGAGGAGCAGCCCGAATGGAACCTGGATCCTGGCTTCGGCGGACTCCAGCCACCACGTTCCGGCCGCTTTGAGGTTACTTGGGGAAAATGGTCCGGACCGGTGAGAATATGTGACATTGTGAGTGCTGGAGAGTAGCGGGTGAACACATTTAAGAACACATTCCTTGAAAGAGTGAGACAGAGGCAGATCCTTGATGACCATCTCTAAATATCTTTAAAATCCTTGGTCATCATGATTTTTCACTGTCATTTCAATTTCATCAAAACATCAAAACAAGATTTCAACTTCACCATCTTCACGCTACCGAGGTTGGGGACCTGGTGGAGTACTATAGTTTGACAAATTGTCAGTGGCTTCCAGCCGCTGTGATTTCCACTGCGGACTTGGGGGAGTTCCCAGTGCAAATTGATTTGAAGCCGGGTGTTTGGATATCTTTCGCCACTCGGCTGATCCCATTTTTACCAGAAGAAATCACCAAAAAAGGACACACGGAGCGGGACTTAAGGATGGTTGTATCATTTGTTGTATCCATATTCCCTGTGACATGGGGAGCCACACGGAGCTACGAACTAAGGAGTTTCCGAAACTACGTGATGGAAACACAATAAAACACAACAAAAACACATGAAGAAATACAAAAACAACATAATATAAACACATCAAGAAACACACCCACTGGTTGCTGGTGAAGCACCAAGAAATATATTTAGCTGAATCCCAAAGGGGCAAGTGTTTTCGTTGAAGTTTAGCTGGATTCATTGTTGTTAATTGTTGTTCTCATCCCCATGGTTGCTGGATGTTGCTGGTGAGTCAGCGGTATCCCGGATGAAATGGGTTCCAGGTTTGCCATCAAAGCATGCTTAGAGTATCCGTGTCTGTGGAATCTTTCAATGGCCATTTTAGGAACCTAAATTGGAGGTACCGATTCCATATATAAGGCCTATGCAATTAAGGTAATATCCCCACAAAATATGGCCTTATATATGGTACAGCACCTCCATTAGTCCATTTTAGGATCCTGAAATTCCCACTGAAATCTTGTTGAGTTAAAGATCCGTTCCCGATTTCTGGCGAGAAAATCATAGAAAATCTCCCTGCCCAGATCGTCTACGTTTCGCCATGATAAGCCCATGTCTACCTTCAAAATCAGTGCAAGTATGCCATAGATTGATATACCCTCTGGTTATGACTAACATGGCCATGGAAAGTCACCATGCTATTAATAGGTAAACCATCTATAAATAGGCCATTTTCCATGGCTATGTTAAATAACCAGAGGGTATATTGTATGTGCAGGTGCAGGTGCTGCACTAAGCAGGCCGATCAGGCTCGATCTATGGCTACTCTAGAGGTGAAATAATTCATGATAAGCGGAGGCAGTTATCAGCTTAAGTTGGCATGCCGCAGGCATTAGCAATCTTTGTTTCACAGTACCTTGGAATAGTCCCAGAGTTGGTGTAAGCGAAAATCCACAGGAAACTCCGATAAACTTTGTGATATTTATAAGGAGTTCAAAACAGTGGCTTCCTGCATTATCCACAAGTCAATCCCTTGCAATAGATAGTGACTATAGCTGCGACCGCTAGACATTTCTAACCCCTGGAGTCACTGGAGTCCTCGACCGGTTTGACCACGGGATACTAAAAACGTACCTGGATACAACTTGTGGTTGCCATTGCCACAAGGGAAACCATGAGACACCATGAGAAAGTGATTTTGTGATAGTTTGTGAACCACGGGGGCTGCCCAATTCTCGGATCTACATCCATTTGACTTTGAATCATTTGAATCGCTCGAAAATCCGCTCAGGAAGAGCAATCGTCCCGAATGAGGCACCGAAAGGAAGACGTGTCCTTTGACGACTCCGACCCTTCGGAGCCCCAGAGCGTTTCGGACGATGCTTCCACCGAGGCGCCGGGCAACGAGCTGGAACCAGCTGTTGCCTTGGCAACTTCCACCACTTCCACCACTGATGAGGTGGAGTTTATAGCTGAGCTTAAGAAACATGATCTTCCAGAGGGGTTGGACATTAGAAATATTGGACGTTCATGTCGCACGTCTGCCGCATAGGCCGGCACAGCAACGCGGGTGTGGCGGTTGACAGTGGAGGGTCAGATCCAACAATCCTAAGTGAATATTGGATGGTGAGGGCGGTGGCCAAGCAGCTTCCTCTAATGGAGTCTAGATTCACAGGCATCCACTGGCTAGATAGCCAAAACTCATCAAAAATCTTAAACCTTGTTCTGCAGATAGATTTCCCACGTTCATCAACTTAGCAATATTTGGAGAGAGATATATATATATATTACATTATATATATATTTGGTGTATACATGTCAGATCATGTCAGTCTCCAGGAGGAGGATTTGTCGCATAGGTCTTGGCTGCCGCTTGTTTTGAAGACCACTGTTGCGACCTGCCCAATTTCGATGGTCGAATCGGCCACTGTTGCAGACCGCCCGGTTGTAAATTCAAAAAGGGCGCTGACAGACTATCGGGATGACCATCGGGTGGTTTTCCAGTTTGTGATGCGGACACTTAGCATATATATATACTGGTATATATATGGACTTGAAGAGTATGCACATGTCACACGTCTATTCTATTAATTATGTTTCTAATATATGTTTGTATTCTGTAGTGTGTTTATAATTTAGATATTTAGGTGCAATATGCATATATATATATATGCCTAAAAAGAACGTATAAAGGGTTCCAAATTGCTGATCAATAGCGAAGGCTGCCTTTCACCGGGCCCCCTTGTTCCGCCCAGGTTTTTGGAGCTGGAATTCGAAGGTGCGGCCCTTTTGGCACAGCTCAGACAGCTCGGCAATTTTTTTGATGAGCAAAGTTCTTTAAGTTAAAGATGGTCGAAAAATCGCCGCTGGAGTTTCGGGGAAGTTTTGGAGTTATATTTATTGGCATTTATTAGCTATAGCTCTATATACATATACTATAATATACTGTAATCCTTTTATGTATGCAAATCATCCCTGGCTCTAGGGTCATCAATTCTTGGATAGATCCATCATTCTTGATTTGATCGCATGATTCTTCCACAATATAGATTTGATTAGTCGGATACCCCTCATTCTGGCGGGCCACTTCGATACTTGGATGACCTTGGAATATCTTGGATGCATCCTTACGAATCATATGTTTTTTTGGGCTTCCACAGACACCACAGGTCCGAAAAATGGCTGATTTCCGATGTACTTATAGACCTTGTAGTGTCGTGGATTAATGCATCCCCAAAAAAAGAGATAGAAAAGTCATCTCCAACTATATAAAGATTATAAAGACTGGAAAAAGAAAGCGCATGCTATAAATCACCAGGTTCGACACCATTTTTGTTGGGTTCCGCTGCTTCCGCAGGAAATGCTGCAGCCCGGGAGATCGGTCTCTCCACCTCTGGTCCCGAGCATTCGGCCTATGCCCAGTTCTTCCGCGTGTTGCCAGTTTTGCAGGGTGCTGGTGGTGCCTCCCGAAGGAAGCCACGGCTTGACCTTGGAAAATGATCTTCAAATGCTGGGGTTTTCCACATCTATGCTGGTTTAGCGTATAGGGTAACCTGTGAACTTTATCACGCTGGCGGGATGTTGCTCTATCTGTTTGGGGGTTTCCATAGTTATGTTAAAATCACCACATGCCCTCCAGCTATTGGAGCTACGAAATTCTCTGGGATCATGACCGATGGTTTTGAACATGCACACTATATATATGCCAAATGTCCTAATTTTATCCACCAGGAACAGTGAACATCTCCAGTTAGGGGCAACATGAGTCATTAAGATTTTCCAGAATGGGAATCCGTTCAAAGCAGCTCAGTATTCACTACTATCACTACTATTCTGGGCACCCAATGTTTTTTCTATTGAAAAACACATCCGAAAACGATGGTTGACCCCGATGATCCTGTATGTGGTAAATCCAATCATGAACGATCCCCCAAAATTATCATGGGTGAGATATGAACCTTCAAACATGATCAAAAATTGAAGGTTATTTGAGGTTATTGGCTTTGCCAGATATTTTCGTTCAACTCATTGCTAGATCAGGTCCAGGTGGTCGGGTGGATCTCTGAAATCTGAGGCTTGACGGCTTTTTCGAGACTTGGATGGGGTGGAAAGATGCCCCAAGAAGTGAGACATCTATGTTAGAAATATGCTAAAATTCATGTGGGTTCAGGAGTTCAATGGAGTTCAGGCCTGCTGATATATTACCCCTTTGTGATCGCACATGGCGGGGAGCTTGGGGCTGAATGAGTTCAACGATAACCCGCTTCAGCCCAGAGGATTCCATAGGGCTCCAGCGTCTTTCGCCCGCCAACATGAGGACTGCGCCTTCCTGCTAGAGATATGTGTGCGAATTGCGATGGATGGAAGTGGTTGGCGCTTCTTCTGCAGGACTTGAAAATAGCACTACCACAGAGATGTGATTTTTAAGTTTCCAGCTCGGACCAAATTGGCAATGACTGCCATGAGAGAAGAGGATTGACCAGAAGGATGATTGACATATTGGCATATTGGTATGATGTTAGAATCATGCTGATGATTCTGATGAGGATAAGGATGAACATGATGCCGGCCATGCACAGGACATCCAATCAGTTGGAACTAGTGCTGGTGATCGTTGGTATGGTTGAGCCTGGACGGCATAAAACAGGTGCAGGATGATGATGTATGATGTATGATGTAATTATGATCTTTGGGTATATATGGGTATGATCATTTCATCATATATATCATACATCATAATTACATCATACATATTGGGTATCTGATCGGTATAATTTTAATGTAGTTATATCAGTTTACATCATAATGATTTTGTTGGGTATATATCAGTATATATACGTATATATATATATATACCTATATATATTTACAATCAGTTTATATACATTATTATCGTCGTAGGGTATAGTCTCCAGTTTGTTTCTTATGCAGATTCAGATGCATCCACTTTACGCTCAAGCACCTTCACCATATGGATGCGGATGGAACATGTTGAAAAACATTCCGACACGTACAAGGTGGCTTCCTTGTAAGTTGCTAAACATACACACCATGAACTATGGTTATATATATATATATACATATAATTAAAAAAAACATATGTAATTATATAATTATATATGTATTTATACTGGATTTCATTGCCTTTGATTAAACAAACTATACACCAACTTAGCTATTTAGCGGGGGCCTGCCTAGCAGCTAACCGAATTCACCGGGGCAAACCAGTTGTCCGGCCACGGTAGATATGCCAGCGTTGATATATTCTTAATCACTAACCATATCTAACAATATTGTTCGTGTATGTGCATGTATTGACACATATCCAGGCATACATGCAACCACATGTGATTATTTGCAATGGCATACAATGACACACAAATACCGACAACTACATACATTATTTAATATATACACACACATTGACATACATTTGACATTTGCCTAAATTTACATACAGATGCATGATTATGCATGAATATACTGATACACACATCTCTTCGTGCATACATTGCATGCATACATCATGCATGCATGCATACATACATACATGCACACACACACATACATACATACATACATACATACATCCAGGCAGGCAGGCAGGCAGGCAGGCAGACAGACAGACAGACAGACATCATACAAACATGCATACAATATCACACAATTACATACATACAATTACATACAATTGCAGACAATTGCATACAATTGCATACAAATGCATACAATCATATATTTACATACAATCACATACAGTTGCACAAAGTTGGACACAGTTACACGCAGTTCCATACAAACACAGACAATTACAGACAATGACATGCAAGTGCATACAGTTACCTAAAGTTACAGGCAAATACTTACAGTTACAGACAATTAGATACTATTACGTGCAATTAAATGCGGTTGCATACAACTATACACAACTACACACGACCACATACAATTACTCACAATTACATTCACCTACATACAAGAACATGTCACTACATGCTTAATGACATACATGATTAGCTATATAATTACATACATACATACGCCCCTCAGTTAGGCTGAGGCAGGCTTGGTCTGAAGGCGATGGAGAGAGAGAGAGAGAGAGAGAGATATATATATATATGGTCCCGTCCTCCGTCTCTCCACCCCCCCCCCCCATGGGTTGGGTCCCCAGGTAGCAGCCCCCCTTCCCTTCTATTTGCAAGCTATTGGCAGCATTTCTGAGGTCCAGCTTCGTATTTGCTAGGTCTTTGCAGTATTTCTGACTACCAGCCTCGCATTTACTAGCTACATGCTACCTTTTAGGCGACCTACGTAGCACATATACTCCTTCAAAGTACCTACGTGCTACCTATAGTCATATATACATGTGCTATGTATCTACTGTATCTACTTCCTATTTACTACCTGTGTACTCTCACAACACCACCTGTGTTTAACATATACCGTACCGAACAATCAATCAATGATGCCATGCATACCATACCTATCATACCTATCATACCTATCATACCTATCATATCTATCATACACACCATACATACCATACATATGAAATGTAATTACCACACCTACGATACATACAATAGCAAACATACATGCCATACATACCATACATACCTTACATAGGAAATATGCCATACCATCATAGTAATCATACATACCATACAGACCATACATACTGTCATATCAAACATACCATACCCAACAGACTTACATACCATACCTACCATCCATACAATACCAACCACTCATGCCATACATACCATACCTACCAAACATACCATACTTTCCAAACATGCCATACCAGACCGACCATACACACCATACATACCCAACATACCATACCACACCCCCACCACACCACAGGGGGGGAGGGGGACAGCGCCACACCGCCACCACACCACAGGGGGGAAGGGGGAAGATCTCATATGGGGCCAGTATATGGGACCCATCCCATGGGGGGGGGGGGGGAGGGGGGGGAGGGGGGGGTGGCGGGGGGGTGCAGGGCTGGTGCATATATATTAAGAGAGCATAACATAACATTACATAACATTACATAACATTACATAACATTAGATACAGAACATAACAAATAAAACACACCATCACAGACCATACCATACATACCTTACATACCATACATACCATACATACCATACATACCATACATACACGCACAACATACACACTAACATACACACCGACATGCATATCAACATACACCCCAACATACATACCAACATACATACCAACATACATACCAAAATACATACCAACATTCATACCAAAATACAATACATACCAACATTCCTACCAACATAGATACCAACATACATAACAACATACATGCCAGCACACATATACCAACATACATACTAACACACACCAAGATACATACCAACACACACACACACACGCACACACACTCCAACATACCAACATACCAGCACACCAACGTACCAACATACCAACATACCAACATACCAACATGCCAACATACCTCCTACCTACCTACCTACCTACCCACCTATCTACATACATACAGACTGACGGACAGACATACATACATGCTTACATACAAACATAATAGAAGTATAATAGATATGCAACAATGTTTCCCCCCTCTCTCTCTCTCTTCCCCATTTTTTTTCCAGAACGTAATTTAATGCATGGATGCACGCAGTACACACATAATTACACAGGTGCATTTACATTCATATTCATATGCACATACATAGTACTGTGTGACTGTGTGTCAACTTTGCCAGTGAACACCGACATGTTGGGATGGTCAGCCATGTGCATTGGCTGGTCCCAGGATTTCTTCATGATCTTGATGGCTTTTCAAGGGGTACCAGATGATTTCGTCATGCTGCACCTCTTTCGTTCTGCGCATGCCCTTCGAGCACTGAGAACGTGTCGGCTGTTTAAAGGCCTTCGTGTGCTATTGAACCTTGTCGTGCCTGTGCAGGGCATCATGGTGAGGTTGTTCCGCCCAAAATCAAAAAGTGTCCGAATGGTATTGAATCCTTGGGGGCCTCCCCGGTTGATTTAAAGTGAGATCCCAAGACAATCCACAGCTACCATAGTGATGATTCCGCTCGATCAATTTTGATTATATATTTATAAATTTATATTACTGAACCAGGGCCCGGGAGTGTGCGGGGGTTGAGATTTTGGATTTGCAAGCTTTAGAAACAATCACAGGTGGACCACTTGGAACCACGTCGTGGAATGGCAACTTGATGTGACTAAGGAGAGCTTGTGAAGCGTTTATATCATCACTTTTCTGGGCCACTTGGCGAAACCAGCCTCGTTTTTTCTGTGGTTTTCTTGTGATGTCCTGTAAAAAATCCATAAAAATCCCCAACTACTTCCCTTCAAAACGAGGCCATGGTGCTGCTGTTGATTTTTATGTGCGCGGGCTCCATTTTGATGGGGAACCTGCTGCAGTCCTTCATTTTGAGCGATGCCAACCTGGATGATCGCACCTGGATTTGGGAACACTACGGCACAGCCTATCGCTGTGGCTTGGCAATCCGCGATGTCATCATTGTTGCGGCAAATGTCACTACTAGGAACATATGGGAACTATACCTGATTATGATTATAAAGAGAACTGTTAGTTAATTGTAAAACATACAACTGCAACTATAGTTAGCTAATGGGAAATATAGCGTCAATTAGTCAATTGATGTCTATTATGGGGCACCAGGCCGGTCCGTTGACCGTACACTGTATTTGAAGCAGCCCATTTGAAGGTTCAACAGCCGACAAGTTTGACTGACACCCATGCAGGACTTGCACTCCTTTCTTTCCAATTTGTTTGGGTTCATTCAGTGCGGTAGGGGCTGAGTTTGAAGATACTTTAAGTATATACAATATATTTCAAATCCACTCAGCGTTTCGGTGAAACTGATTTGCCCGAAGATCACCTGTGGCACATTCTGGGGCAGCATCCACGTTCCGATACCTCCAGGTTGGTACACTTTATATGAGCTGACTTTTGCCGGGATTTCCGAGCTGCAAGAAGCAGGGAGATGGGGGTGGTATTACTTCCAGCTTTTCCCCGAGAACAGAGTATTTTGATGTATTTTGCGGGTGCTTTGAAGTGGGCCTGAGAAAAGCTGGGGCTTGGGAATGCATTTGGAATCCACTTTTGAAATGCACCTGGAATATGCCGGTTTTTGAGGCTCAGTGATGCTCAGTGTTTTTTTTGGGCTCAGGAATTGGCCCACACGAGCACGGCCAGCTCCCTGACTGAATCCATAAGAATTATTGGTACTCATTAGTGAGTTTCGGGATTCACAAGTTGAAGGCCCAAAGGTCACAAAAGTTTGTCAGCTGGTCGTGAAAAACCATGAGTTTGACCCGGAATTACTTGACTTGCAAGGTTTTTCTCGTGCTTTCTTGATCGTGGCCAAAGGATGTTTTGGAGGTGTAGGTGATTGCCAGTGTCCATTAGGTTACTGACCTAGTAGATCCACGCTTTGCGATTTTCTTCTTCACCTACATCACAGTCGTGCCCTGGCGACGTAGGGTTTGGTGCTGCAATTCTTCGAGCAAAGGACTTCATCACATGATGTCATTTTGTGAGGATTGAAGGATAACATCACGAAAGGTAGCGTCAGCTACCTGAGTTCTCCGTGCTTCAGCACAAGCTTAGGGGGTATTGGGGGGCCAGCCGACGGAATTCAAGGAATTCTCGCCGTTATGTATTGGATATCAATGGTCATGGGCTCAATTCCCACGGGCGACGCGCCGATCGCAGCAAAGATTTGGCTGCAAAGTCCACTAATTATATATATATATATTATATATCACGAAAGGTAGCGTCAGCTACCTGAGTTCTCCGTGCTTCAGCACAAGCTTAGGGGGTATTGGGGGGCCAGCCCACGGAATTCATGGAATTCTCGCCGTTATATATTGGATATCAATTATAAGGGGGGGGGCATTAGAGGCACACTTTCCATGAGGGAGATGTCCCTGTAGTCCAGCATAATTGGTATGCTTCAGCCTCAATAACAGTTGCTGCAAGGGGTCTTAAAAAGGGGTTTTGAATAAACCCCTTTTCGTGCATCATTTCACGCTGCACAAGACACCGTATGATGCAGTCATGCTCTGGATAAAATCATCTTAGACTGCGCAAAAACGTTTTTGGTGTATCATCTTAGGGGCGCAGCATTTTGACACCACTCCTCTCCCACTACACTACCTTTCGTCCGCCTCCGCCTGCTCTCAAGTTTTCCATTGGCCCCCCCTTGCAAACAAGAACCTAAAGTCAAAGAAGTGTTTGATCTTTTCTAGGCAGCGGGATGGGTATGAGTCAGACTTCAAGGCACTAGCAATCAGATGATAATATTGTTAACATATGATGAGAGGATGATGGGGTTACTGCATTTCCAGCATTTTATGTTTCATGATTTTTCTAGTGTCTAGGATATTCTGGGATGAAAATGTTATATAGTGTAATACAAATACGTGCGCACGCTTTTCAACAGAACATAATGTTGATGTCACACTATTACCATACCATGTTAGTTGGCCCTGACCATTAAACCTCCGAGCTATCGCCGCAGGTGTCTTTCGCTATGATTCGTGTTGTCACTGCAGCATCTTGACTGCAGATAACCCGATAAGCCAAACTGGGGCAACGTGGATCGCCAGCAACGTGGCAAATTGCCAGCAACACCTCGCAAAATCATCCATGTTACAGGCAGTTACAGGCAGTCGACGAAAAGAAACTACCTCAAATCCCTGGTATTTCTGACTATGAGGTTAGATTTTGGTTGGGTTTGGGGTCCAATTTTGTTTCGGCTGTATTTATGTATAATATATACATATATATTATAATATATTGTTTTGACATGCTTTGACTTGCAATGATGGAAGAGCTTGATAGTCGGCCTTGCTACGTCAGGATCCTGCACCGACACCCTGAATTGTTTAAAGTCACAGCAAGGTGCAATCACACGCCGTACTTTTCACAGAGGAGCAGTTATAAACCAATGCTGGGCAGCTGCTTGATATTTTACGGGAATACAGCAGATGAGAATTCGAAGGCGAGCAAATCATATATCAGGTTGGAAGATGGCCAAGCAATCAAAGCAAAAAAAAAACGGTCAATCGCTTCTTTCATAATCTAGTGTTCCATCCACAAAACAATTCTAATATATTCTAATTCTAATATTATATGTTTTTAAGGGATGAGTGAAAGCATCCCAGTTCCAGAGTTGGATGAAAGGAACAATAGAAAAAAAAACTTAGGAGTACCATCTGGCAATCTTGAGACATAGCTGTGGCAAATGAAAATGTTGAATAGATAAAATCATCTACATTTTTGTTTTAAGCCAGGTTAAAATTCAGGGTTTTAGTAAAGGGCATCAGTCCATACCATAGAAACTTACCTTTTCAGCGCCATGGCTGACCGTTTGCGAGATGTCATTGCGAATGCTCGCGCCAACAAGCACTGCATCACAGTGCCCGGCTGCCACGATGCGATGTCCGCAGTGCTGATTCAACGTGCTGGCTTCGAGATTGCCTTTATGAGCCCTGGGGCATTGTTCTTTAGTGACAGTGAATCTATAGTGTGCATTGATGTCGAATTATACGAAGTGTTTGCATGTGTGAATGCATATTTGGTTTGTATATATATATATATACATAATATACATACATACACACATATATCATATATATATATAATATACATACATACAGACACACACATATATATATATAATACATACATATTTATATATGTAGATACCATATATATATACACACAGGCACACATTCACATATATATATATGTATACATATCATTTTTTATTGATATATAGGTATCTCAGTGTGTGTGTGTCAATCATGTAGGTGGCCTGCAGTGACCACCCTCAGACCCTCAGACACTGCTGGATCAGCCAGGAGTGGCTTTGCGGTCAGTGCCACTCAACTGGCCATGCCCGATGCTGGTCTGATTTCGTATGCAGAGATGCTGACGATTGGGAAGAACATTTGTGATGCACCGTGGCCTGAAAAACCAGGATTTCTATGTATTTTGTCGATTGGTTTCTATGTACTTTTCTATGACAGTAAGTTCAATAGAGGCACCCCATCTCCAGTCGGACATGTCTGGAATCTAACTTCTTCATTGGAAAGTCACGCAACATTGCTATGCACTATATACTGACTCAAGTGTCCAAACTTTAATTTTGTTTTGATTGAGCTCGCGCACTCGAGAGGCTTCTATTTTATACCCCAAAAGCGCGCGGGGACCCAACCAAAACAACAGTTTAACATTTTTTCCACAAGGAAACCTGCTGAGTATATATATCCACTACTGTGATCTAGCATGCTTTTGGGATCTTCCCCATGGGAATGACCTTGATGCACTTCATCAGCAGGCCACCCATGGAAAGCTCTTGGTCATTGGCGATGGTGATACCGGTTTCGGGGGCCCCGGGAACATCCGGAGAACCTTGCGGGGCTATGCAGCTGCAGGATTTGCTGGCATTTCCATTGAGGATCAAGTGTATCCAAAGCGATGTAGCTCGACACGACTTCCCTGCTGGCCGTGTAGTAGAAGCTGGCCAAGGAATCAGGGATAGTGAATTCTGAATAACTCTTCAGCCCCAAAAAGATCAATGGGTAGATTGACCCCAAAAAAATGATGAATCTCCCCAGAAACGAACTTAGTCAGGGAAGAGAGCAACCTGAAACCGTGGTCTCTTACAGTACATCAAATGTCTTCAAGACTTTGATGGTAGGCCTCTCCTCCAACATCTCCAACCTGACCAGCCTCTTAGATTCACCCGCTTGGAACCGCTTTTGGGGATCCGAAATGCCCAAATCCGCCGTACATCTGGTGGTTTACTGCTGGTTTGCTGGTTTACCAATGTTTGTTGACTCTTGGTGATTTACTTTTCCCTCCTTTTTGGGGCAAAGTAAATGCAACAATTGGATTCACAACCAATCGTCGGACATCAAGAATATCATCGCGCGAATACAGCTCACCAAACCCTGGCCCTAGCTGGTTTTGTCTGAAAATAGGCTACCCAGGCTACCCCAAAGATGTCATGGCTGATCGTGATTTTCCTCCTCAAAATTATACTTTTTGAGTCACCCTTCAATTTTTGGATTCCCCATAAGCCTTGCTTGTAACATATTATTGACGATCATGTTCCACATTAAACATTCATTCCATCTACATCTTCAACTGGCGGTATATTCACATTTAATATAAACATATGATTTTGTAAACAGGGGATTTCTGCCTTCACAGACGTTCCAGACATCTGAATTGGTCATGTTCCACCCGCCACCCCAAGGCAGCTACGCCAAGGGCCTAGCCGTGGAGCCCCGTCCGGTGGCCCTGGCCCGCGTCCGGGCGGCGGTCGAGGCGATCCGAGAGATGCGCCAGGAGGGCCTGGATCTGTACCATGGCACCAGCCCCCATGGCGAGTTATGGTGCAAAAATGGGGAACAAAGATGTCTAGAGCGATTTAAATCATGACTAATCATGATGGCTATGAATATTATGAACTGATAGCTATAGAGTTTATAACTCAAACTGTTTATAGTAGATATTGGTAGATGTAGGTGTATTGAACTTTTTTTAGAGGGTAGGTATACACCGACCGAGGGGCAACAGCTTGCACCCCAGGTGTTTTGTCTTGAACAAAACATGATTACAGTGTGTATATATATATAATTATAATATATATATATAAATAATATAGAAAATAATATATATATATATATAATATAGAATATAATATATATATATATACGTTCATTGGAGTCTGAGTAGCGCTTGCAAATCGTGGTCATTGGTAGAACTTGATAGTGTATGCAGTTTTGAAGATGCAAAAGATCCCCTGGCGTATTTTGGCTGCATTTTTTCCAAATTTGCTACTACAGTTGGGTAATAAACCATCATAAAAACTGGGAAGCCCTAAGTCGACCAAGTGGAGTAGAACGGAACGGAAGTTTTCCCAAGCGACCGAGGTTGCTGATCGCAAGGACCGACTGTCGAAATGCTGCAGAGCATGGCGGCTTGGCGGAAGCTATTGCGCGCTGCTCGGAGCGCCTCGGCAAAACTTTTGGTGCTGACCATCCAATATGGGATATAAGGTTGAATTGAACCTGATTTTACTCAAATCTCAATCCATTTTCTGGTATTTAGCGGATGTTTTCACACGTTGTTGTTTCATCTCTCGAATGATGAGCCTGAATGATCCTGAATGGCTATTTTGTTTATACAGCTGATATTGATGTATCAGGTTGAAAGCAGCCGTCAGAGAAAAACAAGGGGTGCATTGGTCAAAGGTGTGAAAAAGACACGTGATAGCGAGGCTGCAAAGGCAGACAAATTCCCTGTTTGTGATCCTTGTTTGCACTGAATCATGTGAATAGATGCATACCAAACCAACCCCATCCCCAGCCAGGCCAAGGTTTCAAGCACTGGGTGCCGATATGGTCTATGCTGAAGGATTGGGAAGTTTGGACGAATCTTGACGGAATTTGGTATGAGATGGGAGCGGGAAGAAATTGAGGCCTCAAACTCAAACAATTTTGGCACTTGAAGGAGGACAGTCATCCTAGCTGGGAACACATTGTCAATTGTGACTGGCAGGAGATTTCAACACATTTGATTGTGTATAACTTACAATCTCTGCAATTACTAGTATGTAAGATATTATATTTAACAACAATGATTCATTATCAATATCACCCTGGGGTAAACTAACAGTTCAATGTGGAAAACCCACTATTTGTAGATGGTTTTCCTACGGTGTCCCAAAATGGCTTTTCTCCAAGAAATGGTATTACGCTTGGTGCAGCCAGGTTTCCAAGATCATGAGTGTCGCTATTTTCTATGGCGTCACATATAGCGTACACACACACATACAGTACGTATATATATATATACATATATAAGTAATTCATAGCACATCATTATATAGCTATATCGATGGAATGATGAGAAATGCATATAATTATCATCATATCAACATCTTTTTCAATCAACCATGTTTCTTGGCTATAGTTCTTGTTTTGTTAGTGAGGCAAATTTATTGCTTGAATCACTTTTCTTTCTATGTATGTTATATGTTGACTATATACATCAGACATGACTCATAGGGCCTCATAGGGCATCCCATTGTTTGGTGTGATGTCTTGCAGGAGATGGAAGCCTTGGCCAAAGCAGTCAGGGTTCCAACAATGCTTGCTCAGGTGGAAAGGCGGGGCCGACAGTTTTAAACTGGGGATGGCTGAAAACAAACAGGGGATGGGCATGCTAATATTCAACGTGTGTGTTATTTAACGGGTTTTAAAGGTCTTATCACACCGATGCACAGCTATGAACTGGGTAAACTCAGCCAATGTTAGGGTGCATCCAGTTTTCAGATCCCCTTGAGGCCTGGGCAAGCCTTGATAAGTGCCCAAGAAGCTGCTGCTGCAGGGTTCACTTTGAACCTATTGGGCCTTACCGTTCTCAACGTGGTCGCTTGCCTTTTGTCGGAGTGATTCAAGGGAACATCGGAGCAACGACCGGAAGATATGTTTTTTTTTACTAGTGTCCTGGAACTTCAATTGCTACATGTGTTTGCTCGTTTTGAGATTTGCTCGTTTCCGACATTTCCTTAATGCTCGATGTTTTGAAAAGATGCTCCTTAAGCTGCTTAAGCTTTATTGGCCAGACTGTTTTTTCTGAATTTGCGCCGGCCCGAATGCGGGTGTTTGCGCTCGATTGCGCTATGATTGCGCCCGAACTTGCGGCGAGTTGTTTGATCCAAATCGCTCTCAGATATTGAAAATGCTCGCTATTTGTGATTTTGGCAACAATCCTGGATTTATATAGGCAAGAAATAATGTAGCAATTGAAGATCCCTGATTTTAACATGATTTATTATATTATCCGAATTAGATAAAAACTGTGTCTTGCAAGATGTTCTTCAAGTCTGGAACTTTTGTGAACATCAGGTCTTGAGGTTCCTAGTTGTTGGCGCAGGCAAAATATGGCAAAATAGTGATCACAGCACCAGCTGCTAGCAGGGGCGCAGGGGCGCCAGGATGTTGCTGCAGCCCAGGCGATGTTTGCCATGAAATCAGCCTTGGGTGAGCTGGCAACAGGGCGGCACCCGGCGAGTGAGACACGAATGCCCTTCGCAGAACTCTATGCAGAGACGGGTTTCGACGAGCACTATCGATGGGAAGATCGTCGCCAGCTCAGGGCTACACAAAAAACATTTATATGTATTGACCCCCGATGGCTTTTCTCATCTTCCATGAGGCAGAATAGGAGCCAAGCACCTCCAGTCTAACTTCTAAAAATGAAACGGGTCCTAACGCCAAGCCAACACAGTCTCAGGTTTTCAGAGCAAGATGTGAGCAAGCACCAGCAGCAGTGCAAAAGCCCTGCAGGCTGTTTCACATAGTTGTGGCGGGCATGGTGAGCTAACAGTCAAGTGCTATCGCCAAATGTAAAGGAACATTCAAAATGGCCCTGTGGCCAAATGGCAGCTGTGGATGGCAAAAACAGTTGCAGAAAGGGCTCTGTGCGCTCCAAAAATCCTGCATGTTCTGGTGTGTTTTCTCATCCTTCGTTTCGCGCCCCAAGGTTTTCTTAAAAGATACACTGGAAGCGGCGCAGAACGACCAGGAGCTGCAATTGTTGAATCAGCTTAAAAAGAAGGCGCGAAGTTTGAAGAGGTCATGTCCAGTTGCTTTTGGAAGGGCAAACTTGAAAGTATGAATTTTGTTGAACCACTGCTAAAAATTAAGGTAGCCGTTTCTTTCAGCAACTCGAACAAGAGCTTTGAAATGGCAGGCGGAGTATGTGAAGAAGCTTGAACATATTTTTAAAACCATTGATGTGCCTGGGCTTTAGTAAGACTGGTGCAATCAGGGTAACACGGAACGTCAGGGAACCTGACTGTTTGATTTGCAATTTTGTGAGCATTTCCCATGTTCAGCAGCTAGATTAATTCCGAGGATTATCCACAATAGCCAGTGTTTACAATAATATATATATATATATGTGTAACTATATATATATATATCAAATTATATATATATATATGCATATATCCCGGTAAAATTTTATGATTATGGATCATGGCCCTGTGATATATACTCTAGGTGATATACCTAAAAAAAAAGCATCTGGATTTTCCATGGCAGACTGTTACTTTACCGGAGGGTAGGTCATGGCTCTTCGGGACAGGTCCTTGGATGCCTCGCTTTGTACATCCTGCTGTGAAGCAGTGCTGTCCCAAGGATGGAAATGGAATCATCAACGAGGAACGATTGTTGGAAGCATGGTGGCATGAAGTTGGTGCGGTGCATGGCCGGAGAGTTCGCTTCGAGGGCTTTGCCACCATTTTTACATTAATGTGTCCCATTCACTATCATTCACTAATTCGCATATCGTGACTTATGCAGTTTCAGGGGCGCATATTATATATATTTATATGTATCTCAAAAGTATCAAAAAATACATATTATTGTAATGTTTATGTATATACCTTTATCTACATAATGTTCATGTACGCACATAGTGTGCCCCAAAGGACTTGTGTCAAACATGGCTACTGGTACACTGCTCGACTGAACGGTAAAATGTCCCCTGCTTTGGTGCCAAGGGGTTGCAGCTGCAATGGGCCTAGACCAGTCCTCCCACCAAGACCCCATGCTTATGGTTGTTCAATCAGGACTTGCTATTTTTTTGGTAAAACTCACATATTCCTCTCTTCTTTTACTTCTATGTTCCTCCTTTTACCTCTTTTCTTTTCTTGCTCCTTTCCTTTTTCTATATTTTTATGTTTTTTTCCCCCAGACGGGCGGGTGAGGTGTGTGAAGAGAGGGTGGGCAAAGACTGTGCGTTCCTGAAGTCATCACAATAGAATACTGCCAGTCGCTTTCCACGCGACTGCGTGTTTTCCATTGGTTTTGCCCTTTCGCTTTGAAAGGCCCTGGAAGGATGTTGTAACATGATTCCAAGAAAACCACTGTTGAGTTGTGAAAGTGAAGCGAAAGCGTTGGCGAAAGATCACTTGGAGGCTCCAATCATAAAAGGAAATAAATGCGAAAGCAGTCAGATGCTCAACGGCTATGTGTCAATGTGTGTTGACCTAGAGTAATTAACACGAAAGATGATGTGGGAACTATGTAGGGCTTCTGGTGTCCATTGACCACACGGTGGTGGCCTTCTATAATCTTCTATAGCAGCAATGCGCTTAAGGCCGTGATGGCCGATCCACAAGTCATGGCGCATTTGCAAACGTTGGAGCTTGACGTTCACGAGGGCACTGCCTTGTTTCACTTGCTCGACAACGGGGATGGAGAGGCGCTGCGACGGTGAACGGCCAGGGCGGAGTTAGATCCAGGCCAAGCCTGTTTGAAAACACAATAGCAACAAGGGCAACAGATGGGACCAGAGTGATGTTGCCCCACCAAGATAGAGAAACCAGACGCACATACTGCCTCATGCAAGCGTGGCCATGTCCGGAAATTCTGAATAGACTTATTTTCGTGTGACATTGTTTGCCTGTGCCGACCATGTTGCTGAAGGGCACCTTTTGACGGACGCCTTGCTAAACATGAACACATGGGTCAAAAATAACGAGCCATTGCTTGACTATGTTCCTGCTGGTTGAAGGTAACTTTGGAAGAATTCATAGATGGAATTCTACGCTGCAAGGGCCCCGCAAGGGCTGTAGACCAGGCGCTGCCCGCACTTTTTGCTTGGTTGTTCCAAACGGTTCGTCCAAGCGTGGTGTCGCATAGGGCACTTGGTTTTCAGACTGATTCAGCCACCTTTTGCAATCAGCTGTAATGTTGGAAGCAATGAAATTTCTTTTGCGTCATGACAACGAGTCAGGGCCATGACCTTCCAATTCGGAAAAAAAACATTGCATGGATAACGGATAAAGCAAAACCCACTTGGCGTGTGGCGGGAAAGTTTTGCATGTTTTGCGGGCTGTAGAAAATGTTCATGCTCGTTGTGTTGCAAGGCAAGACTGCAGTTAGGATCCTCCCAGTTTCTCAGGTCGTAGAAATTTGAAATGCTCGGCGTTTGATTCTCCATGAAGTTCCAACAACTTTCGACTTTGACTTGTAATGTGGTGGCTTGTGTCGGCTTTCCATCAACACAAAGCACATTTTTTCCTGATCATGCTTATACAATCTTATACATATTCAATCATACTCAGCTATAGTTTTTTCCAATCACGCCAGGCTGGGGCATTTTCAGCCACTGTAGCGATACAATGGTGGATTAGTGTTTTTGTTTCTGCGTCAGGTTGCAATGCGAGCAGAGATCCGGCAGATGGATGCCAAAATTATGAAGGTTGGAGCCCGCCAGGGTGGGTGTGAGAGCAGCGATGATGAAATGCCAAGATTTTGAGGCTTCAGCCAACATTTGTTTATATAATTTTTAAATTGTGTTTGTATGTTTATGTGAATTTATGTGTATATATACACACATATATATATATATATAATATTATATATATATATATACACGCCTTGATCACAAGGGAGTGCGCTGCATGATCGTTGTTGCATTTGTCCTACTTTCACAACCGCTGTTTCTAACTCGACCGGTATTGAATGTGCAAAAATTTGTTTTGTTTGGTTTTGGATCTTTTATGTGATTTGCATGTTTTCATTTCCAGCCCTAAGTAGGAATTGCAATTGCGCACCGCAGTCATTCTGTTAGGTTGTTTTTTTCTGTACGTACGAGGCATGGTGCCAAAAAACAATGTAGGCATTAACAATCATTTTTGGATATTTTTGGCAAATCGCTCGCATCATACGAACGCGCAGTGCGCAAATGCCTCACTTTTTTTGATTGACGGTCATGCGTTTACCCCGTTTTACCCTTGCGGATTTACTGTACCATTGTTTTTTGGGTAAAAAAAATCGCGCATTTATTTGGGGTTACCTTTTTTTTGTTGATTGCTGGTTTAATTCGTTTTTCTTATTAGTGTTGTTTTCGTTTCTGCGGTTTGCGTTTCTGGTTTTGGTTTCTCTGCCTTTTCCTTTCGATTATTGTTTTCCCTCTGTCCTTTTCCGGCTTAATGCCGTTTGTTTTTCCCCACCTGGCAGGTAAGGGTTTCTAGATTTTCACAAAGGTGCAATTTCTTCTTTTTTTTTTCTTCTTCTTCTTCTTTTTCTTCTTCTTCTTTTTCTTCTTCTTCTTCCGCCTACTCCTCTTCCTTTTTGTCCTCATCTCCGCCTCCTCTTTGCCTTCTCCTTTTGCCAGCTCGTTGTGGCTGGGGGGATCAATGGCCGGACGATCTGTAATATACGCAGCTCTGGATGCTATGGAGCACGCCTGGACTTATCGCGAGCCCCGGATGCTGTGGAGCATGCCTGGACCGGACGCAGTGGAGAACACTTTGGCCCGAACCATGCAGTGGAACGCGCCTGGACCTGAACACATGCCAGAGAGAATGCCAAAGAGAATGTCAGAATATATGCCAGATAGAATGCCTGAAAAGATGCCAGATAGAATGTCAGAATAGATGCCATATAGTAGAAGGCCAGAAAGAATATCATGCCAGAATAGATACCAGATAGATCCAGATAGATTGGCAGAAAAAAATGTCAGATAGAATGTCAGAGCAAATGCCAGAAAGAATGTTAGATAGAATGTCAGTCACACCCGAGAGAGAGAGAAAGAGAGAGAGAGAGAGAGAAAGAGAGAGAGAGCGAGAGAGAATGTCAGGATATTTTTGCCACATATATATATATATATACATATATATATATTATATATATATAAATACTCTTCCAGATGGTATGTGAGAAACTATGTCAGAATACTGTAATTTGTCAAGGTGGAGATGACTCGCAGAAAATGATTTGTTTGTTTGTTTCCATGCTTGGCCGTTAGTTCTGGAAAGTTGTATTTTCTTTTGGTTCATTTCATAAACATTCATAAACCATTTGTTTTCCTTTTTCGTTCTTTTGTTTTTTTTGTTTGCAACTTTAATTTGATGCTGTTTGCTGCTTGGCTGGGTATTTTTGTGGTTGTTGTTCATATTGCCCGTCGGAAGCCGGAACGAAAAGCAATGACATGCAACTGCAACCGCGGCGGCGGCGAACACAAGAACCAGCTTGCCAGCAGCAGCAGAGCGCTTTCACCCAGGTCTTCTCACGAGGGGATTGTCACTGGTTGGAGATAGCGGGTATATATGGGTATATACCGATACCATTATATACCCATAAAATATTTTGAACTGGCAATTCTGAGAAGAGAATGAAAATTGAATATGGGATTTTGGGGGTGTCCTATGCTCAGACAAACCCATAGTGCCCCAACACACCGTAATTTGATTTTTATTGGTCGTACTTGTATGGGTCACATATTTAGGATTCTCCGTGGATGCCAGTAACACACGCACAGATTGCACATTGCAACAGGGGTCAAGGCGTCATGACAGCTAAATTGGATTTTTTTTGATGCATATTTAATCTAAACTAAAACATGTGCATGCAACATATATATATATATGTTTTATTTTTCAAATAATTATTGTGTGAGGTTATTTTGGGGCATGCGGCATGTCCAAAGGTCCAAACGCAATGGCACTGGCCGTGTTTGGGACACATAAGTTGGCACAGTAAACATGGTCTCAAAACAATGGTGACATGCGGGGACAAAATTGGAACACTATGTATGGTACTAGTACAAACAAATCGGGTTTGCACAAAAATTGTATAATCGCACTTCCACCATCAAAGTGCCAAACACTCATGTGGCAACTGCACAAAAGTGATACTGTACATTGATTTTATAATCTACGCTATACATAACTGTTAGTTAATTTGATATGATTGATAAATGTCAAATGGTTATACTTTTGGAAAAACACACGGTGCACCGCACGATCGTGACAGTTTTGTGGCTTTGCGGTCCAGGTCCTTCGGCTCATGGTGGGTGAACTCACGAGGGCTTCGAGTTTTGACCTCGATCACAAGAGTTTGCAGATTGAATCTTGGTTTTGCGGCCCATAATGGATAGCACCAATATGTACCAATGTCCAATATATACACCATTTATGTGCCAAGCATCATTCATCAACTATATATCCCCAGAGTTGCGATTGTTCGTAATGTGGGAAACCCAATTCCATAAACAACTACCATTTGGGGATGGTTTATAGGACCCAGAAAAAATGGTGATGTTGTGAATGGTTTCCACAATGTTGATGTCTGTAGTGGCGGCAGCAATGACTGTCCTCTGGATTTCGTTAAACATTTGTTCAAGTCGTGTCTTGTGGCCACCTTGGGTGCTTGTTTTATCCCATAGCCATTTCCCCAAATGGATGTTTCTTATACTGTGGGGTCCCTTAAATCATCCATTTTTAATTTTCCATTATTATTATTTCATAAACTGTCCATTAATAGGGGTACCCACATTATGCAAACCCCAAATGGCATGTTGTTTTTGATGTTCAATCCCAGTCAGGATGTGAGTTCTCACCTGCTGGCGTTCTCTGATGCACGCCCGCGGCTAAACCGCAACGGTGGTAGTCATCCACCGTCGCGGCAAACGTCCAAGGGAACTTCGCCCGGCATCCCGCCAGCTCTTTCCGCACGAGCATAGATATCCAACGTTGGAAGTGCCGAAGTGCATGCAATGAACGCATTGCCGTTCTTTCCAATGATTGGTGGCTTCACTGATATATTATTGTTCTCCATTGTTTGTGAATTGGGATACATGAAATGAACATACCGCATGTTGTGCCATCAAAGAGCATGTTGTTTGGATGGATGTCTTACCGTAAAGAGTCTTACCCACTATTTGGTTGATGAATGATTCATCTGGTTTCTCCTCGCGCTAGATAAGAGCCACTGTCGCAAGTTGCACGGTCCCTGCAACACCGGTTGCAAATCCAGGGCAAAGATGGGCAAAGGACGTCTCTCATTCTTGGTAGCTTGGGGTGCCCATACAATGATTGAAAACGCCCCAGCATTGTCAAAACACTGGTAACATGTTCAAACGCCAGATTCCTGGATTTCGGAATGATAAACAAGGAAGCAACATATTTCTTCCCAAACACTGATAGTTGCGGATATTGCTTTCAAATGACATACTCATATTTGATATAAGGCGTTGGGTCATGGCATCCTGCATGATGGTCAAAATCAAGAACACGTTCCAGGCGGAACTTTCATCATTTGAGATAGGCTTGGTTTCAGAAGGTGCCCGCTTTCCGACATGCATGATTATTTGAAACATGATAGCAGTGAAACACTACTTCTGGAAAGACTGCCAGAGACAAGTTCATGGATTTCAGATTGTCTTTGGCACCACTATTTTCAGTCACCTGCCAGTGAGTCCTTACCCTGGACAGACTCGAAGTGGTGAGATAGGACGATGCGACTCCTATCCCAGATTGTCGAAGGGATCCTCTCAGACCCATGGCCTCTCCAAGATTGTTGACAGGGCATGTTTCGCGCAAGCTGGGCATCTCGCATGGTCTATTTGTGATGTTGTTGTGATTTGTGCCGCGCCATCCTGATGATTAGAAGACTCCTCCCTTTGTGTGCTGTACTCTCAAGCAGCGCCAAATCGCCTGAAAGATCTTGAAAGATCTGAAAGGTATTTTGGCCACGTCAGGGCACCCCTGACGCATTTGAAAGCGGTCAAACAACTGCGGCTGCTGCACCTTGGCTTTCACCCTTTGAAGTTGGGAGGGAGGTAGTTTATTTGATTGTACTAATTATTTGCATATCATATATATATATAATTAAATAGATGTGGTGTGCATGCCCTATACTGCCTACTGCCCCACAAAGATCCATCATTCAAGTGCTGAGAAGTACCCTGGTAGAAATAGGGATTGCAGTCTGAACCTTTTTCTTCGTGGAATTGAAGTCGGTTTCGGACATTCATGCCCGGCAACACAGTCAGACTATCATCAAAGTCAAATTGTGGAACTTTGAACATCCGTTGAAAGTAAACGAATAATTGAATGAATTATGATCGAATCCCAGGCCACACATTCAATCACATTCATGTGGTGGATTTAGTAGCATGTATAATAGTTACATAATAATGTGGACTTATGAATTGCGAGTTATACAACGTTACACAACCATAGTTCGCAAACGAACATGTAGATATTACCAAACGCCATTTGCTTCAACCGATGAACGTTGAGATCTAACAACTGCTTTAGCAACTGCGGTTTAACCAATACAAATGGGGAGCTAACCAATAACAAATGCTTTTTTTTCAGTAACAGTGATCTAACCGATAAATTTAAGTGGGTTAATTAAACCATATTAAACCCATGAAAGTTGTGATTATCATCAGTAATCAATTACCCTCTGGTTATTTAACATTACCCTATGGTTGCTTTTTTTTCAGTAACAGTGATCTAACCGATAAATTTAAGTGGGTTAATTAAACCATATTAAACCCATGAAAGTTGTGATTATCATCAGTAATCAATTACCCTCTGGTTATTTAACATAGCCATGGAAAATCACCATTTTTAATAGGTAAACCATCTATAAATAGGGCATTTTCCATGGCTATGTTAAATAACCAGAGGGTAAATTGGACAGTCAAGATTGGGATTCATGGGATCAATCCCGCAGGGTTGGACGACGGGAGCCTTCTTCGCAGAGCACAAAGTGCGGGAGCTGCTGGCGCCATGGCACTTTCTGAGATAACTGGTGCCCGGAGAAAGCCCATACCATCCCTTACCAGCTAGAAATGGTTACAAATGGGGTTATCATGGATTCCGTCTATGGGGTTAGAACTGGCTTCAAACTGGCAAATGGCCATAAACTGTGGTTACAGCAGGTGCCATAACATGTCCTTTTTCCAGAGAATTGTTGTCCTCAGCCATTTTCAGGGAAATGCAACATTGGGCTTCTAGCCCGCACATTTGAAGAGCAAACCTAGGGGAAATCACCAGCGGCGGATGGAGTTTGCTGGGCCACCCTCAACATCCTGAGTCAAGAGGTTTCGCGAGTAGTTTTAGGACTGCATCAAGGGCCCATTGTAAATTATGCCGGGATTTGCGTTTGTGATTGAGAAGTATGCTTTTGAAGATCTTCAATTGCATTCTCTGTTGTCAATTGTCATGGTTTTTGTGCTAAATAAGGCTTGATTCGGAATTTCTGCGCACATCCTTCGACGAAAACAGATGTTGACGATAGGCACACCATCAGAACATGGGAACATTATAGGGCCGTCCTTCCGCCCATTGTTGCGGTCTGTGAAATCAGACAAACCACCCGTTGCATTCATTGCATGTAGCTTTGATTAAATGGTTGGGCGTCTAGAAGCCTTCAAGCCTTTTTTGTACAGTAATCATGTTGAATTTTCCCACCAACAAGGATGCTGAGTTTTTTGGTTGGTGCCTTAATTCTTTGACATCCATGGGAAAATGATTTTGATGATCCTAGTTGACGTTCATGGCCATACCTCCTGGGCTCCCGCCAAAGGGGCCCGAGATGTTCACGATTCCGAGTTTTCTAGTGTGCCAGGAACGCAACGAAATTTTGGGCGTGAAAATGCGTCTTAAACACATGTTGGCTGGTAAATATCCACATGGTGGGTGACCAACCACCAAGGACCAAAGCCTCACAGTGACGGAAGGACCCTGATATGCTGCCCTAGGGCGGAGGAGCTAAGAAATCCCAAGTTTTCATGGGGAGATCAGGGGGTTCATTTTCGGGCGCAGTGGAAGTGGACAGAAAACTAGTTTCAAGGTATTTGTCTTGAACAGATGTATATATATAATATGATTTAATATAGTAATATGATATATGTATCACACACACATACATTTATATATATATATATTATATATATATATTGCCAATTTGCACAACCTATGGTTTTATATTGCCGAAAATATTCAGAAATTGATTATATTTCCGCAATCTTGCTGACCATGACGGGCACAAAATAAATCAGGTGATTTCCAACACTCGAGTAAATCCACTAAATTTCCCCTAGAGACGTGTTTGTCCTTAAAAAAATAACTGGGGATTGAATGGGATTGAGTTCTCGGTCCCCTGTGCTGAAGCAGCAGCAGTACCTGTTGCAATTGAGTTTGTATTCGGTTCTTATTGTGGACAATTCCTAAAGCAATTTAAGAAAAAACATAAGAAAAACACAATTGCGTCAAGTTCCTGAAAACAGAAACATAGAATATATATGTTTATATACATACATTTGTTTTTTCCTGTTTTTCAAGGATCCAAACCTTTGTGAATAATTCCATAAGCTCAAATCAACCAGACAGCCAAAAATGCTAATTTGTTTGTTGTTTTTTGACACTTTCAAAAAAAAAAACGTGCGTTGTTTTTCGTGAATTCGACAAAACCGAATTGAAATGTGCATGTGCATATGAATCTATGTGTACATATGTGTACATGTTTCCTGACGGAACCAGCGAAAAATACAATAAACAAACCCCAAACATATCGCCCATAGGTTTCTGCCAAGGCGAGCTCTGAAAACACATCAATAACGAATTATTGTTATTTTCCGAATTTGTGTTGGATAATTTTTTTTGGGGGTTGATTCCAAAAGAACTGGGCGAAGCTCCAGCAGTTGTGTGACAAAAACTGACCACTGCCGGACAACATAACTAAGAGACCCGCTTCTAACCCTTACAAGCTATTATGCTAACCTCAAGGAATCCTTGCCTAACCCCAACAAGGGCGGATTTTGCTAACCTCATTTTTTTTCTTGACCCTTATAATTTTTTAACCTCAATATTGTGGGTTAGAGAAGTATGATCGTAATGGTAAGGAATTGGCAGTGTAAAGGTTTGAAAAGGAACTCAATATAAGAGTTAGGCGTGCTCGTGAATAATTAATATAATATATATATTACATATAAGAGATAATTATAGAAATATATGAATATATATATATATATATGGCTTTCAATATGGCACTTTTTCGGCAATCGTTCTTGGGGGGCAGCTCCAAAAAAATGTTTGGGCAATGTTTGGTGTTTTCTTGGGCGAGTCTCCACATTTTTTGGCAGGTTTTTGGCAGGTGTTTGGGGCATCTTTTCCTGCGGCCAGCTCCAAAACAATAGTTTGTTTAAAAAAGAGCTTACAGTACATGTTTCGTAGTTTTTTCAGCAAACTTTTCAGTAACTATAGTTTTAATAAAACATAAATGCTCCCCAATGTTCTTGGCCATTTGTTTCTCAAAGAAAACATGAAAACAAAAGAAATCTTTATTTTTGGCAATTAAGACAACAGTACATTTTCAACATGTCTCTTCCCAGAGCCAGCTCCAAAAAAGCATCACAGCAACTCAAGTCTTTCCATTTTTTGCCGCCGATTTTCCCGCGACCAGCCCTCCAAAAAATAAATTTTACGAATAGAACTTATATTTTTTCACATTTTTTTGCCGCCGATTTTCCCGCGACCAGCTCTCCAAAAAATATAAGTTTTAAAAAAATAAAACATATATTTTTTCAGCTTTTTTGCCGATGATTTTCCCGCGACCAGCCCTCCAAAAAATCGAAGTTTTTTTTAAAAATAAAACTTATATTTTTTTCAGTTTTTTTGCCGCCGATTTTCCAGCAACCAGCCCTCAAAAAAAATATAAGTTTTAAAA